GTGTCAGTGGGGGGAGGAATAGTGCCCCATCGTTGGTGTCAGTGGAGGGAGGAATAGTGCCCCATCGTTGGTGTCAGTGGGGGGAGGAATAGTGCCCCATCGTTGGTGTCAGTGGGGGGAGGAATAGTGCCCCATCGTTGGTGTCAGTGGGGGGAGGAATAGTGCCCCATCGTTGGTGTCAGTGAGGGGAGGAATAGTGTCTCATCGTTGGTGTCAGTGGGGGGAGGAATAGAGCCCCATCGTTGGTGTCAGTGGGGGGAGGAATAGAGCCCCATCGTTGGTGTCAGTGGGGGGAGGAATAGTGCCCCATCGTTGGTGTCAGTGGGGGGAGGAATAGTGCCCCATTGTTGGTATTAGTGACACAAATGATGGGGCACTATCCCTCCCACTGACACCAATGATACTTACCTTGCTGACTCCTGCTCCAGCCTGGGCTCGCTCTCTCCCTCTCCCATCTACAGCCTGCATACCTGTCTGCAGCAGCAAAATTTGCACTTACCTGTCAGCTGTCTTCCTTCTCTGGCCTCTCTCTTCACTCGTTCCTGCAGCTCCCTCGATCTTCTTCGATCTCCGCGCGCTGCCGCTCGGCTCCTCCTCCCCAAAAGCTCCACCTTCTCGCCGGTGATTGGCCGCCTGTGTGCCTCTCCTGAGCTACAGTTCCGGTGGCCAATCAGCGGCGAGGAGGCGGTGACAGGGGCAGCATATCATCCCGCCCACACAACGCCGGAGACAGGAGCGGTGTCTCGGTTCCTAAGACCATCGGAAATATGTGTTTTCCGATGGTCTTAGGCGACCCCTGGGAAATGGTCGTTCGACCCCCAAAGGGGTCGCGACCCCCAGGTTGAGAACAGCTGATGTAAATGTATGGGGTTCCTTACAAATTAAATTTACAATCACAAAATTGTTCCCAGCTAATAGGATTAGGCTAGAAATAATTGAAGTACAATGTGGAAATAAAAATGTCAATTTTAACCATAGATATGCTTTAATTGATGTAGCAGTATGGCTTTACTGCATCCATATCGCTGCTTGCTTTTTAAAAAAGAATACAAAAACAAAAAAGCAGAAAACATTTGGAAAGCACAATGCACTTTATGAATGTGCAGTGAACTTTGCTTGCTTTGGGACACAGAAGAATGTGGAGCACAACAAAAGTTAATGAAAGGGTGCCAGAGCAGGAGAGCTTGATCACAAATACTGTTTGTATTCTGACTGGCCTATCCTCCGATCAGGAGTTCGCTCTGCGCCGTTAAGCAGAGTGAAATCTGTGGAACACCACAGGTTCCACACTGCAGCCTGCATTTTATGAATGAGTTCACCTTTCAGAACATGTTACACCCATATTCAGGGTGTAACATGTTGCAAATAGACTGGCCTCTGCCATCCCTGATCCCCCTTGTGACTGCTAAAGGGGGATCTTCTCCCCCCTGCTAGCTGTCACAATTTAAAAGTACTAGTATTCTGTAAATGAGAACACTACAAGTTCCGACAGCCTTTGTAGCCATCGGCTTGTAGTTCTCAATTAACTACCACGGTGCTGTGCAGCACCGTGGTAGTTCATTGGGTTTCCCTGTCAGTAAGCATCTGCTGTCCTATACGAGGTATACGGGCAAGCAAATATGCTGACAGGTCTGCAGGAGACCTGCAAGGCACCAGTGATCAGGCTCCAGAAACAAAAAATAATAAATTCACTTTTTTTTTATCTGAAAAAAAAAACGTGCATTTATTATTTTTTGTTAACATCCTTTTAAATGCAGTCTGCATTGTGATGTAACAATTACAATGTCCACCAGATAGCACTATCCACTCTCTCTAATTTTTTTTTTTTTTTTTTTTTTTAACATAGGTCTCTATAAGAAAACATTCTGTTCTCTAGACTAAAACAGCCGTTCTTAACCAGGGTTCTAACAGAGGTGGTTAGGAGTTTCTTGAGCTGTGGCTGACTGACCTTAAATTTGATGCTGTCTAGGCCAAACTTGACAGAGCCAGCAGTATGACACCAAAGATCTCTGGTGACAACTACTGTAGAAGTTACATTCTTCCTCCTGACCACCAGTGTAAGGGGCATTTTCACACTGATCACCAATGAATTGATTTAAATCTGATCTCCAGCTTTAGGGCCGGTTCACATCTGTGTGGTGTGGTTTAGGTGTGTTATAGGCATGCTACCTTTGGACTCTAAAGCATGTGCATTTTTTTAAAGTGCACCAACGAAACGACATGAAGGACATTTTTTTTTTTTAATCCACCGCACATAAAATGCACAGGTATGAACAGGGTCTTCAACTAGTTTGTTTGGGCCAAGCTTGCCCAAACGTACTATTTCCTATACTAAGAGATGCACTTTCATGTCTCACCCCTGTAACAAAATGCTATTCTAAGCAAGCTCTCAGCCATTCTTAGGCAGCTTTGTATTCTGTGAATGAATGTAAAGCTTCCTCTGATTGGGTGAGGTGGAGAGGTGTGCAGATGATGTCACAATTTCTGACTTAGATCCCTATGAAAGGCTGACTACCACTCAGCCAGACTCTATTTTGTTCTGGGTGTGAGACAGGAATTCTCATCTCCCACCTGTAAAACAAGGCTGTAAACTGTAGCTGAGACTACATACAGCTTATACAGTGTGCCCAGTGGGCACACATTTTAGTGTAGGAAATAGCCTGTTTTGGCCAGCTGGGCACAAATGAACTAGTTAAAGTGACTTATTTTTTTTTTTATGTATTATATATTTTATAAATATTCACAGCAAAATGCTGTGAAAAATATGTTCGTGTCTTATTATGGCCAAATAATTATTTTTATAGCAAAAGCTATTTATGCTGCTGCCACCCTATTAATATAAACCAACAAAGTATGGAGTAATAAAAAAAAGGGGGGTGGCGCTGCGCTAACCGTGATATACTACAATTTGTCTTATTATAGTGTCTTACCCTCTGTCAGATCTTAATAAACTCTGTTATAGTATGTGCCAAACACTACTAGATAGATGTGAAAATGAAGTGAAATGAAATTAAATCTACAAAACGCAACTCCACTCAAAGTATATAACCAATATGTGTCACAAAATAAGTTCAATATCTGTGAATAAATTAATAAACATTTAACACATTTCTAAGTGTTTCAACAGTCCTGTGTATGATAAACCAAATAATAATTGCTTCTTTCTTGTTTCTTGCTCTTTCTTCTCTCTTCCACCAACACCAATGTGAATTAACCACCAAAAAATGCTAAATGAACTCACCAGAGGTAAAAGCTGGTGTGTGAACAGCCATCTTGCAGCACATTCCCCTTTGGGAGTAATAATCTGCAGACCCAGTAAATTCTCAGTATGCTCTCTATCACCAGTAAGTAATGTCCCGATCATCAACAAGAAGGGAGGAGGAGAGAAACAGCTCGCATAGCATAGGATCCCTAAAATATGTTTTTTATTTTAAAATTATTACACTCGCATTTCTGTGTGTTACCACTGACACAAGTATCACAGCATAAACATAAAACCTGGGCTTACTCCGTCCAAAAGCTCTGGCCGCAAGCAATCAACCAGGAGTGTGTGGTGATGTTACATCCAAGCCCCATCCTACATGTTTTGTCATCCGACGTCTTCCAGGAGCAGAATACTGTGACAGAGTTTTACATTATGACAGGGTAAGACACTATATTAAGACAAATAGCAGTATATCACAGTTAGCACTGCGCCACTCCGCTTTTCTTATAACTCCAAAGTGACAGTAATGCTGAAAACAGCTTTAAGCAGGGATTCTTTGAGACCTGAAAATTATTTTGGGGTTTCCTAAGGTTGAGAAAGGCTGAACTAAAGAAACCCTAAAAGCAAAAAACATAAATGACCAAGGACAGATTTATCAATATACAAAATTTACAGTGCAAGTCGACCCTTAGTAGGTAGAAATTTTGAATTAAAGATGCTTATGTGCTAGTTTCCTTAACTCTCTAGCAGCTTACTGCGCACTGTATGGCCAGCAAAATGCCATCTTTTTTTCTTGCTCCTTCTCCATTCTGACAAGGGGAGTGTATCTGTGAGGTTACTTGTAAAAATTGACAGGCAGGTTGCCTAATTACATTTTGAAGCTTTGGAAATGTGTTCTGTAATATTTTCCTGCCATGCAAGCCATTAAATATCCCTTCTCTTCAGAAAGTTTTTTGAAGTCTTTTTTTTTTTTTTTTTGACGGACAAATGACATCACACACTGAAAGCATGTCGGTCATCTTTAGGGCAGTTTCAAGAGACAATCATTCTGTTAGGAGCAGAGGATTTGATTATGTTAGTTCATGTATGTGAGCAAACCCTTTCCTCAGTACGATGCATTGAGGGAAGAATATAATGGGAAAATTTGTACTTTATGGTGACTGGGTAAAAATAACAGTTGCAGGAACACAGGCCCTGAATATACTGTATAATAACTGGTAAAAATTGCTAAATACAATAGTATAGTGATTTGTGACCTTAAAGTGTTACTAAACCCAGGACCCTGCATTCACTCTACCTGGTCTTCCACAGTACACAGAATATGGAAATGTAAATATAAAACTGCTCTAACTGTTGATGAGAAAAGGTATTTAGCAGTTTTGTGACTTCTGTCAGTGTCCAGCAGAGTACTGATTAAAGCTTGTAGGAGGAGTTTTCTTTCTGCTGTAGGAGGATGCAGAACCCCTGACCTCTGTCTGGACAGTGCTAATTGGCCCTGCGTTGATCATAAGAACTCTCCCAAGAAAAAAAAAAAAAAAAAAAAACTCTCTAGCAATACGCATCAAACTGAGCATGTGCAGAGTGTCTCCACATGATATGTCTTATCAGGAGATAAGAGGGGGGGCACTGGAAGAAGGGGAGGATCAGAGAAGTCAGGATCAAACCGCCTTTTTACACAATGCAGAGAATGAACCCCTTAGGTTCCACAGTGAGTATATCAAGCATGCTTTACTGTATATACAACAGTCAGTATTTGGACAATAAGTTATTGGTTGATCTATTTGTGCTCCCTTAGAGTTCTTACCAAGACACCTTGGAATTTATGATGGCTAGTCGAGACTTTTGTAAATCTTTCTGGAAGATATGTGTTGAGTACCATGCCTTCTTTAGGCTCTTTGAAGAACCCAAACCAAAGCCAAAACCGGTCCTTTTCAGCCGAGGTTCATCATTTAGATTCAGGTAAGGACCCGACATGGCTGTGTAAATGATTTTTTTGTACTTACATGCATCAGGGCTATTGTTATAGAGTGTGGCAAAATCTTCAATATTTAATATGTTTGAATATATCACCACTCTTTGGAAAGGGTAAGTGATCATCAAAATAGTAACTACTGCATAGTTAAAGCTAAATATTATGCATTAAAAAAAAAAAACAAATTAATAAAGCTATTTATTAAAAAAAAGAAAATGACAAAAAAACATAAATATAATGTTTAACCACCTCAATACTGGGCACTTTCAACCCCTTCCTGCCCAGGCCAATTTTCAGCTTTCACTGCTCTCATACTTCGAATGACAATTACTCAGTCATGCAACACTGTACCCATATGAAAATGTTATTTTTTTTTTTTTCATACAATTTTGAGCTTTCTTTTGGTGGTATTTAATCACCGCTGGGTTTTTTTTATGTTTTCACCATAATGTATACTGATACATTGGTAAAAATATCCCAAATCAGTGTATATTATTTGGTCTGTGTGAAAGTTATGGAGTGTACAAGAGTCTACCAATCATTGAAAATTGATCACAACTGATATACTGACAGCCTATCTCATTTTTTGAGACACTAACAAGCCAGGACAGTGTAAATACTCCCCAAATTACCCCTTTTTGGGAAAAAGGTATTTAGTAAGAGGCGTGAGTTTTTTTAAGTTTAATTTTTTCCCACAATTTTTTGGCAAATTAAGAAAGTAAATAAAATTTGTGTTTTGTTGCTCACAAAAATTTTATATTAACCAGTTATTTCTCACACACGGCATAGGCATACTTGCAACCAAACCCCAAACACATTCTGCTACTCCTCCTGAATATGGGGATACCACATGTGTGTGACTTTTTCTCCTACAGGCATTATCCACTTTAACCGCTTCCTGACCACCCTATAGCAGAAGGGCTACGCGAAATCACACACACACACACATATATATATATATATATATATGTGTGTGTGTGTGTGTGTGTGTGTGTGTGTGTGATTTTGTATTTGGCGGCTACAGATGTCTATCACTGGGTTCCGGCTGGAGATTCCCTGTCGGCACCTAGCGATCGCTGAATATCACTGACAGGGGAGACACCTGTGTGTAAACAACACAGGTCTCTCTCCTGCCAGCAGTAATATGCTACTGTGTATTTCTCTACACAGAAGAGAAATACACAGCAGTATGTTTCCCTAGTAAAACACACACAGCATACACAGTAAAACAGCACACAGTTACCGTTTGATCGCCCCAGATGCTAACCCCTTCCTGCCCAGTATCATTAGTACAGTGTCCATGCTTTTTATTAGCACTGATCACTGTATTGGTGTCATTGGGATGTCAGTGGCAGTTCCCCACGCAGTGTCAGAATGCCCACCGCAGTCCCGCTATAAGTCGCTGATTGCTGCCATTACTAGTATAAAAAAACATTCCAGTATATATACCGTCATTTGTAGACACTAACTTTCATGTAAACCAATTAATGTACACGTACGGGGATTTTTTGTTTTTGTTTTTTTTTATTAGCAAAGACGTGTAGCAGAATACATTTTGGCCTAAATTTATGAAGAAATTTGATTTTAAAATGTTTTTACTGAAAGCTCTATTTGTGGGGAAAAAAGGACATAAATGTAATTTATGTACAGCGTTGCATGACCGTGCAATTGTCAGTTAAAGTAAAGCAACGCTGTATCACAAAAGATGGCCTAGTCAGGAAGGGGAGGGGGGGGGCAAATCCTCTGGAGGGCAAGTGGTTAAGATCAGGCATTCTTCTGACACTTTGTTTACAAGTACAAATCAGTATTTTTACTAAAACATTACTTAGAACCCTGAAACATTATGTATTTTTTTGGAGAGGCTCTAGAGGGCCCTTAGTAAGGGTGTAACATCAAACATGTATTTAGCAATAAAGATCTGCACATCACTATTATCTACAGTGTTTAGCAACCAACAGTAGATTATTTTATGGTGCTTAAACCCCTCTACAATGTGTTCATCTGTGCAATAATATTAAATACATAGCAATAAGCACACCATATAACAAAGATGCTTTAGCAATGTAGTTGTATTAGGCATATACTGTACATGCAATTATACAATAGGTACAAATATCCAAGTATGTCATATCAAATCAAGCATAATACAGCATGGATATTTCAAAACTAAACAAATTCAAACTAAATCAAAATCTACATATTGTTTCTATAGCACTGTACTTTAATAGTTCTGTATAAAATAGCAAATATGATTTATTTCTGGGTATTTATTTGGACTTGGCAAAATTTGCATTGCTTTTCAGAGAGTTTACATATCAGACATCCGTTGTTGAATACAATGCTGGTGCAAGCCTCGAGCTAATATTTGTCAAACTGTCCTTTAAACCTGATATGTCTCGCTCAGAAAACATGACACACGGCCCTGTTTTACATGTATGGCCCTCAGGTTTTGTGTTTTACTTGCAGGTACATGCACAATGAGACTGATTGTATGTGATTTAGTATTGTGTATATTCTCTATCATTTGGAGTGCTGGTACTGTCCTGTAATATATGTATGTGTGTGTGTGTATAAATATAAATATATATATATATATATATATATATATATAGTGAGGAACAGAAATATTTGAACACCCTGCGATTTTGCAAGTGCTCCCACTTAGAAATCATGGAGGGGTCTGAAATTCACATTGTAGGTGCATTCCCACTCTGAGAGACATAATTAAAAAAAAAAATTCAGGAAATCACATTGTATGATTTTTAAGGAATTTATTTGTCTTGCACTGCTGAACATAAGTATTTGAACACCTAAGAAACAGCAAGAATTCTGGCTCTCAAAGACCTGTTACTATGACTTTAAAAAGTCCACCTCTACTCCACTCATTAATCTAACTTAGTAGCACCTGTCTGAGCTCTTTAAAGACACCTATCCACCCCCACAGTCAGTCAGACGCCAACTACTACCATTGGCAAGACCAAAGAGGTGTCAAAAGACACCAGAGACAAAATTGTGGACCTCCACAAGGCTGGAAAGGGCTACGGGGCAATTGCCAAGCAGCTTGGTGAAAATAGATCAACTGTTGGAGCAATTGTTAGAAAATGGAAGAGGCTAAAGACGACTGTCAGTCTCCCTCGGACTGGGGCTCCATGCAAGATCTCACCTCGTGGGGTATCACTGATGATAAGAAAGGTGAGGAATCAGCCCAGAACTACAAGGGAGGAGCTGGTCAATGACATGAAGAGAGCTGGGACCACAGTTTCAAAGGTCACTGTCGGTAGAACACTACGCTGTCATGGTTTCAAATCATGCATTGCACGGAAGGTTCCCCTGCTCAAGTCATCACATGTCCAGGCCCATCTGAAGTTTGCCAATGACCATCTGGATGATCCAGAGGAGGCATGGGAGAAAGTCATGTGGTCAGATGAGACCAAAGTAGAACTTTTTGGTCTAAACTTCACTCGTCATGTTTGGAGGAAAAAAAAGGATGAGTTTCATCCCAAGAACACCATCCCTACTGTGAAGCATGGGGTGGTAACATCATGCTTTGGGGGTGCTTTTCTGCGAAGGGGACAGGACGACTGCACTGTATTAAGGTGAGGATGAATGGGGCCATTTATTATGAGATTTTAAGCAGCAACCTCTTTCCTCAGTCAGAGCATTGAAGATGGGTCATGGCTGGGTCTTCCAACATGACAACAACCCGAAGCACACAACCAGGATAACCAAGGAGTGGCTCCGTAAGAAGCATATCAAGGTTGTGGAGTGGCCTAGCCAGTCTCCAGACCTAAATCCAATAGAACATCTTTGGAGGGAGCTGAAACTCCATGTTGCTCAGCGGCAGCCCCGAAACCTGACAGATCTAGAGGGGATCTGTGTGGAGGAGTGGGCCAAAATCCCTGTTGCAGTGTGTGCAAACCTGGTCAAGAACTACAGGAAACGTTTGACCTCTGTAATTGCAAACAAAGGCTTCTGTACCAAATATTAACACTGATCTTCGCAGGTGTTCAAATACTTATGTTCCTCACTGTATATACATATATATGGGACTGGTTTGTAAACTACATTAGGAATGTTTAAAAAAGAAAAAAAAGTTGTGTGTTCAGTACTTAGCCAGTAAATGCACTAAATGTGGATGGTTGTCACACTCGCCATACCACATGAAACTGAATCTATAAAACTCGTACCATTCATGAAACTGGTATGATATAGCATCAACATTGAAAGTAATATATTTGTTATAACATTTATTCAAATTAATTTTGTACTGTTAAAGTTAGTAAAAAATATTCTATTCTAAATATGCCTGCTAGTAAAACTGTCATGAGAAATACAGGGGACTCCTGAGAATTCTGATTGTTTGGGTCTTAAGCTGACCCTCTACAATCCTTTGTCATTGACCTGGAACAAGTATGCATATTAAGAAAGCCACAAAAAAAGTCTTGATTTTTTGTTTTTCTTTTATACTTGTTTCAGATAACCAGCCTACATTTTCATATGGCAGCCACCTGTGACTGGTCTTGACAGGTTTTTTTTTTATTTTTAAAGCTGCATACCAGCCTTACTGTGTCTGTAAAACGCGCTGCAGGCCGTGTGTGTGTATGTGTATATATGTATATAATATATATATTTATAAAATACAAAACTGGTTTTGAGGCACTCACGGGTTTTGCAGAGGCGGAAGATCAAACACAGCAGTGTTTTTATTGGCAATCTTTCAATGCAGTTCAGTCCATCATTCTCATGACGTGTGTGTGTGTGTATGTATGTGTGTGTTTGTTTTTTTATTGTTATTTTTTTTTTAAGAATTCTAGTCGACAAGTAAATACATTTTGTTTTTCTTTTATTTAGCAGAAAAGACGTACCAAGCACTTTAGCAAAAACTCCTACCTGTTAACACATTTTGGAAACCTGTATGATATCAGAATGCATTAACTAAAAATACCATTAATATTGTGCTATAATTTATTATCAGTGGTCGTACACAGAAGCAAGTTTTGGATTATGTGAAAGAAGGAGGCCATAAAAAAGTACAGTTTGAAAGGTGAGAACTTGTTGTTTACCTTGTGTTGTGATGTAAAATCACTGAGAATATTTTCTCTTGGAGGGCAGCAAGCCTGCGGTCCCCCTTCCTGCATCATACTATGCCACATGCCCTCAACATGTTGGGATTTATTGAGGAGGAAGGGACCCCTTTTGAAAGCGCTTTGTCCCCATGTTGATGAGGCCTCTTCGTCAGAGCCCTGGCCCCGATAGTTGTTGGGGTTTGCGGGTGAGATTTTTTTTTTTAGAACCTGGAAGCCCCATCGATCTCAAAAAAGTAAACCGTAAATAAACACCCTGACACTTTTTGGCAAATCCTTTAATTCGTGGGCCCATCTCCGCTACACAGACATCTATCCCACTTAGCATACCTAATACTAAACCTCCCTCCACACTTTCCTGTTTTGACCTTGCTACTACTGAAGAGGTCACTAAAGTTTTCTCAGAAGGCCGTCTCACCATGTGTCCCCTGGATCCTGTCTCCTCTCAACTACTGCAGTCACCCTCTTCTTCTGTCCTATGCTCCCTCCCTCACATCTTCAGTCCTCTCTAATGGTGCCTTCCCCACCCCTCTAAAGCATGCACAGATCACTCACATACTTATAAAGCCTTTGCTGGACCCCACAATCCTGAACAACCTAAGACCCATCTCCCTGCTCCTGTTTACCTCTAAACTCTTAGAATGCTTAGTCTACAAACGCCTGAGCTCCTACCTCACTGACAACAACCTTCTTGACCCTTTACAGACTGGCTATCGCTCACTACACTCCACTGAAACTGCCCTACTAAAACTCACTAATGATTTACTAACTGCTAAAACTAATGGCCACTTCTCCATACTCTTACTACTTGACCTTTCTGTGGCTTTTGATACTGCTGACCATCCCTTCCTCTTCAGAAAACTCCACTCCCTTAGCCTCCAAGACTCTGCTCTCTCCTGGTTCTCCTCCTACCTATCGCAGCGCTCCTTCAGTATTATCTATAACTGTCTCCTCCTCTCCACTTCCTCTTTCTGTAGGGGTTCCTCAAGGTTCTGTCCTAGGACCCCTTCTCTTCTCCATCTACACCTCCTCCCTTTGTCACTTGATAAACTCCCATGGCTTTAAGTACCATCTCTATGCTGATGACACACAAATCTATCTTTCTACTCCCCCCCACCTCACCCCTTCAGTCTCCTCTCTCATTACAAAGCTACTAAGCGACATATCAGCATAAATGTCACTCCACTTCCTCAAACTAAATCTTTCCAAAATGGAGCTCATACTATTCCCTCCAGTCCTTGCCCCCTCCCCTGACTTCTCCATCAAGATAAATAATACAACCATCAGACCGATTTCTAAAGTTGTACTGTGTTAGATGTCTTGCAAATCGCAAGGAAATCTGCAGGTCACCCGATTTTGAAATCGTACGACTTCACTGTAAGTCGCACGATTTCAAAATCGGCTTTGATTTGACTAGGGGCTTATCTCTCGCCTTGACTATTGTAACTCCCTCCTCATTGGTCTACCTAATCAGATTATCCCCTCTTTAGTCTATCATGAATGCTGCTACCAGACTCATCCACTTTACTAACCATTCCATATCTGCCATCCCTCTCTGCCAATCCCTCCACTGGCTTCCCATTGCCCAACGAATAAAATTCAAAACATTAAAAATAACATATAAAGCCATTTATAAGCCTGCCCGAAATAACATCACCAATCTTGTCTCCAAATATCACCCAAACTGTCCTCTCCACTCCTCCCATGACCTCCTGCTCTCTAGCTCCCTTGTCTCCTCCTCCCATGCTCGTCTCCAGGACTTCTCCAGAGCCTCCCCCATCCTCTGGAATTCTCTACCCCAATCTATCTGACTATGTCCTACTCTGCTCACTTATAGGCAATCTCTTAAAACCCATCTCAGCAGGGAAACCTATCCCGCCTTCAGCTCATAATGGAATCTTCTATTCCTCCTATCAGTTCATCCCCCACAGTTATTACCTTTTGTACCACCTCCCCTCCCTCTTAGATTGTAAGCTCCAGGGAGCAGGGCCCTTCTAACACTCTTGTATTGAACTGTATCATTGCTGTATTGTCTCCCTTTATATTGTAAAGCGCTGAACAAACTGTTGGCGTTATATAAATCCTGTATAATAATACTAGTGCTGAAAGTCATATCCTAATCTCTAGTTGCAAACACGGAATAATAGCGGTCATGCTAAAACTTTTTTATGAATATTTGTTTTGTATACATCGTCCTGATCTTGTATATTTTATCATTTTATAGCTAATATCAATTTAAAGAAAATTTATGACAACTAGAAAACATATTTATCTTTGACATTGCTGGGGAAATAAAAAATTGGTAAGGGAAGGAGGGTGGTAAGAATGAACCTAATAATTACTTATTTTGTGCATTGGTCAAAAATTAAATACATAAACTCTTTTTACAGGAAGCACAGCAAGCTTTGTTCTATAAGAAGTATGACTGCCCACTCACCTGAGCAGATTTTAGAGGTGCCAAAACAAGTCAGTATATGTATATATATTATTTTTTTATGTTTCATTTTCTGAAGGTATATTGATGTCATTACCAAAATGTCTAAAAGTAAGTTCTTATATACATACAAATTCTCCACTTAAAGTAAACCTGTGCTTTGTGCATTAAAGTGTATGTTACTGAAAAGTATAAAATTGACAACATATCTTCCATTTAACATCCTAAATAATATATTAATTTTACAAACCAATTGGTGATCCTGCCAGTCCCCTCCTTGCTACAGGGCTTTCTATTCTGTTTTGATTACACTAACCACAGATGCATGTCCATGGCAGTGTCGTCAGTTTGCATGTTTTCTTCTTTCCCTGGGGCTTGCAGGACCCCTTGCCTGTAGTCCCACTGTTAGCATGACACCACAGGCTTCAACACCTTCCCCCCACAGCCCTCCCAGCAAAGCCTGACTGACAGTGGTTCAAGCTCAGAAACTCCCTATCAATGCTAATAGCAGTAGCCAGATGCTACCAATAGGTTTTGGGGTGGTATTCCACATATACCAATGGCAAATAAATAATTGTCATGTTCAAAAAATTTGGGCCAAAAAAATAAAATCTTACATGGACTCAAAAGAGGTCATTTGGGATTTTTTTTGTACCGCCCTGGCATTTTAGCACCTCAATAAATGTGGTGGGTAGTCAGGAAGTAAAAGCTGCGTAAAGTCCAATATATATATATATATATATATATATATATATATATATATATATATATATATATATATTATCATAGTTGTAGTCTTTTTTTTTACCAAAGACATGTAGCAGAATACATTTTGGCTTAAATTTATGACTAAATTTGAGTTTATTGGATATTTATTTTAACAGAAAGTAGAAAATGTTTTTTTTTTTTTTTTTTTAAATTTTCAGGCTTTTTTCGTTTATATCACAAAAACCCAGTGGTGATCAAATATCAACAAAAGAAAGCTCTACTTGTAAGAAAAAAAAAGGACATAAATTCCGTTTGGGTATAGCATTTCAGCTGAAATAGCGCAGTGCCAAATAGCAATAAAATAGCCTGGTCAGGAAGGGGGGAAAACGTCCTGGGGCTGAAGTGGTTAAAAACCTTCAAATAAATTTAAAAGGTAAATACACAAGTTTTCTTCTTCCATCATAGACTTACTTTTCCTTTGCTCCCTTGCTGCCTCATTTAGAACAAGGAGTTGAAGGCAGTACGTAGGTACAGTGCACCAAGTGATCCACTCCCTATGACAGCACTGGACCAATTAGTGTGCACTTCAACTCAAGGGACTTGTAGTTTACACAGGATTTTCCTTCACTCCTAAATGAAAAGAACGTAAGTGTTGATTGCCAGGGTTAGGCTAAATTAAAAGAGAAGTATGTCCAAAGCTTGTGTTTGTCCATACTTCTCTTTTGGGTCACAGGAGTGCAGTTATTTTGCTCTCCTGTGACCTGGAGTCAGCTAATGGCAATCTAAAGCTCACTGTCGACTTACGTCACAGATCTGCTCCAGGCTCTGCAAGGATTCCAACCATATTGTTGGGATCCACGCAGCTGTTTGAAAGACAGCTGGCTCCCACTGTCAGCACGAGGCTTAGAGCTGAAGCTAGCTGTGTCAGTCCCCTCACTAGCCCAGTGCTCCAGTGTGTGCAGAAGGAGCTGAGAGCTGTGACTGACAATGTCGATGACTGAGCCAGCCAAGGACAACTGCAGCATTAGACTTATGCTGTAGCATGGTGGTGAGTATGGTTTTTTTGAAGGACAAAGCACAGGTTTATTTTAAATCAGTTGAGTACCTAAGCTATAAAGCTAGATTGCAGTTTCATCTAACAGCTTAATTTGACTGCGATGTGTAAAGGGTGTAACAATTGTGCATAAGGTTGCCTAGCTTCTGCTGAAACCTATTGGTTTCCATAGTTAGTTCTGTGTTCAGTTTTTTTAATTTCCAGTATCTGAATATGTTTGCCTTCAGCAGAGACTAAAACTTAAACTTTTCACCCCTTAAACATTTTTAAAGTTTTCATGTTTTATGGTCATTGAACTTGGCATAACAATAAATATAATTTTTTTAGCACTAATATTTCTGCAAAGTGATTAAAGACAAATTACAGTGAAAAAAACATAAAACTAACAGCATAAATATGGTGAGGCCAATACTTCCCAGACTTGCATAACAGTAAAATGGAGATAACCTGTAGTCGATGGGGTTAGTGGGGATAGCAGCATTTGCTGTAGGGATGTTTCTCTGGAACAGATCCTGGAAAGCATATAAGGGTAGCAGGTAAAATAAATAACACAAAATACAGAGAAATCATGGAGGTAAACCTGATGTAGTCTGAGTTACTCAAAAAAACAAGAGTGTTTATTTCTTAGAATGGCCACGTCAGAATCCAAAGCTCAATCCAGTACAAAATTTGTGGAAGTCTGTTCCCTCACCATCTGTATACAGCTTAACAGAGTTGCAGACATTTTGCAAAGAGAAATGGATTAAAATTGTATATTAAGAATGATAATGAAACAACATGCTCTCCGCTGTTTTGCCTGCACAAGAGTGCACAAATGTTCTGAGTAACCACTTCCCATCCGCCCTATGGCAGTAATACTGCCTAATGGCCACTATTCCGTGCTCCTACTCCTTGACCTCTCTGCGGCCTTCGACACAGTTGACCACCCCCTCCTCAAAAAACTACACTCCCTCGGCCTCAGAGATTCTGCTCTCTCCTGGCTCTCATCCTACCTGACACAACGCTCTTTCAGCATTACCTATAATGCTACCACCTCCCCCTCACTTCCCCCTCTCTGTTGGGGTCCCTCAAGGCTCCGTCCTCGGGCCCCTTCTCTTCTCCATCTACACCTCCTCCCCCCTTGGCCCACTCATACACTCTCACGGCTTCAACTACCACCTATATGCTGACGACACACAAATCTATCTCTCAACCCCCCACCTCACCCCCTCAGTCTCTGCCCGAATCACACACCTACTGAGCGACATATCTGACTGGATGTCGCTCCACTTCCCTAAACTGAACCTCTCCAAGACCGAGTTTCTTGTCTTCCCCCCAGCCCGGACACCACCCCCCATTGACTTCTCCATCACATCCAACAACGCCACCATCAAACCTGCCCTGCAGGCCAGAGTACTTGGTGTCATTCTGGACTCCAGCCTATCCTTCCAGCCCCAAGTCCAATCTTTAACAAACTCGTGCAGACTCCACCTCCGCAACATCGCCAAAATCCGCACGTTCCTAACCCCAGAAACCACTAAACAGCTCATCCACTCCCTCATCATATCACGACTCGATTACTGCAACTCCCTCCTTACTGGCCTGCCTCGCCGCTGGGTATCCCTGCTTCAGTCGATCCTGAATACGGCAGCCAGACTCATTTGACCTTTCCAACCGCTCCATCTCCGCCACCCCCCTCAGCCAATCCCTCCACTGGCTTCCGATTGCGCAACGGATCAAATTCAAAATCCTAACACTGACGTACAAAGTCGTCCACCACACTGCTCCGAACTACATCACTGACCTAATATCCAAGTACCGCCCAGCACGCACACTCCGCTCCTCACAAGACAACCTTCTCTCTATTTCCCTGGTCTCCTCCTCCCATGCCCGCCTCCAGGACTTCTCCAGGGTGTCACCCATCCTCTGGAACTCCCTGCCCCAACCCATCAGATTATCACCTACTCTCCTCTCCTTTAGGCGCACCCTGAAAACCCACCTCTTCAGGGAAGCCTACCCCACCCCCTGCTAACTTGCCAACCTCCTCCACTCTTCCTACCACTCCATCCCCCACAGCTATCTCCTCCTGTGCCACCATCCCCTCCCTCCTAGATTGTAAGCTCGAAAGAGCAGGGCCCCTGATCCCCTCATGTTTTGCATTGTATTGTTATTGTTCTATCACATGTTCTGACCCCTTTGTAATGTACAGCGCTGAGCGAACTATCCACGCTTTATAAATACTGTATAATAATAATAATTCCGGCCTCAGCTGTCAATCACTGGGTTCCGCCTGGTGATTACTTGTCAGCACCCAGTGATCAAGGAGCAAGTAAACAATACAGTTCTCTCCCGTCAGCTGCTGCACCCTGCTATGCATGGCTTTGCATAGCAGAGCCATGCATAGCATTGTGCTTACAGTGAAGCACACACACACAGCACACAGTAAAACAGCACACAGTTAACCCTTTGATGGCCCACATGTTAACCCCTTCCTGCCCAGTGCCATTAGTACAGTGTCAGTGCTTTTTATTAGCACTGATCACTGTTTTGGTGTTAGTGGGGATGTTATTGACATCAAGTCAGTTCTCCCCAGTGTCAGAATGCCCGCCACAGTCCCTCCATAAGTCGCTGATCGCTTCCATTACTAGTAAAAATAAAAAATCCCAGTATATATACCGCCATTGGTAACACTATAACTTTCATGTAAACCAATTAATTTACATGTATAGGGTTTTTTTTTTTTTAGGAAAGACATGTAGAGTAGCAGAATATATTTAGCCCTAAATTTATGATGAAAATTAGATTTTTCTAAAAAAAATTTACTGGACATGTCTGTTAGCCAAAAGGCAAAAATATTGTTTTTTTTTTTTTTTTTACTCAAAATTGTCAGTCTTTTTTTTATGTTATAGCGTAAGGACTTAAATTTAATTTGGGTGCAGTGTTGCATGACTGCGCAATTGTCAGTTAAAGTAACGCAGCGCAATTGTCAGTTAAAGTAATGCAGCGCCATAATGCAAAAAATTACCTGGTCAGGAAGGGGGGTAAATCCTCAGGAGGGCAGGTTTTTTTTTTTTCATTAATATTTTATTAAGTTTTACATGTCATCTATTCCATCAATAAAAACAACATCTGTTATTCAACTATTTTCACTAAAAATACAAAACTCCCCCCTTCCCCCCACCCTATCCCAATCCATACCTCCCCTTCCCTCCCCTCACCCCTCTCCCACCCTCCCCTCCTCTCCACTCCGCATCATTTTCCTAGGGTTTTCTCTTCCATTCATGTTTCATATATGCTTTCAATTAACTAGTAACCGACCGCAGATAGCCGAATGACGGCTGCACTGCGGCCGGCCAGTTCTGGGTGGACGTCATATGACGTCCCCCCAGAACGCGCTCTCCTGCGCGCCCCAGGGGGCGCGCACCCGGTGATCTCCGTGATCGCTGTGTCCTACGGACACAGCTGATCACGTGATGTGGTAAAAGGCCAATCACAGCGGCCTTTTAGCACGTGATCAGCGGTGTCCAATGACACGCTGATCAAAGGGAAATGCAAGTGCCGGTTCTCGGCTGCACTTTCCTCACGCTGTCAGATCGTGAGGAAAGTACTGCCGAGAACCGGCAGTTGTCAGAGCGGGGATCGGCACCGATCATCAGGGCACTGATGATCAGTGCCCTGATGATCGGTGCCCAGCAGTGACACCCGCAAGTTCCGCCCACCTGTGCCCAGCAGTGCGCCCATTAGCTCCGCCCACCCGTGCCCCCAGCAGTGCCCCCCCCACCTGTGCCCAGCAGTGCCCCCACCTGTGCCCAGCAGTGCCCCCACCTGTGCCCAGCAGTGCACCCACCTGTGCCACTCTGCAGTGCCACCTACCTGTGCCCAGAAGTGCCACCCACCTGTGCCCAGCAGTGCCACCCACCTGTGCCCACCCACCTGTGCGCACCAGTGCCACCCACCTGTGCCCACCCACCAGTGCTGCCCACCAGTGCCGCCCACCAGTGCTGCCAGTCAGTGCCACCAGTCAGTGCCCAGCGGTTGTGCCAGTCAGTGCCGCCAGTCAGTGCCCAGCAGTGATGCCAGTCAGTGCCGTCTATCAGTAACTATAATCAGTGTCACCTATCAGTGCCGCCTATCAGTGCTGCATATTAGTGCACCTCATTAGTGCTGTCTATCAGTGCCGCCTATCCGTGCCACCTCATTAGTACTGCCTATCAGTGCCCTTTAGTGCTGCCTATCAGTGCCGCCTATCAGTGCCCATCAGTGCTGCCTCATCAACGCACATCAGTGAAGGAGAAAAAATACCTGTTTGAAACATTTTTATAAAAGAAACAAAGAAACTTTTTTTTTTTTTTTTTCAATTTTTTGCACTTTTTTTATTTATAGCGCAAAAAGTAAAGCGCCCAGTGGCGATTAAATACCACCAAAAGAAAGCTCTATTTGTGAGAAACAAATGATCAAAATTTCATATGGGTACAATGTTGCATGACCGCGCAATTGTCAATCAAAATGCGGCAGCGCTGAAAGCTGAAAATTGGCCTGGTAAATAAGGGGGTATAAGTGCCTGGTAGGCAAGTGGTTAATTTAACCTTCTTAAACTCCTCCCATTTTTTCCAATTTTCAAGAAACCACTCTATTTTATCCTCCTCTATATGGTATAGTTCCTCCATTCTATATATCTGATCTACCCTTCTTATCCAATCCGTTGTTTTTGGTACTTCTTGTTCCCTCCAAAATTTAGGAATCAAACTTTTTGCTGCATTAATATATTGCAATACCCAGAATGTTTGTATTTTTCAACCGTTAGCTCTGTTCCATGTAAAAGACATATCCCTGGTTCCTTTGGTATTTTTATCCCAATTATTTCCTGTATCTGGTGGATTATTTCTTCCCAATATTTTTGGATTTTAGAACACTCCCACCAAATGTGACCCACTGTGCCCTGTTCCCCACATCCCCTCCAACATAAAGGTGATTTATCCCTATTTTGTTTGTGTACTATATTTGGTGTCATATACCACCTCGCTAAACATTTATAATTCATCTCTACATCTTTCATACTTATGTTACCATGTGTTAACTTATAAATCTTTTTTTGTTTCTCTTCCTCTATCCTTAATCCTAATTCTCTTTCTCATCTCTCCATATATGCTGGGACCGTGTTTGTTGTTAACTTAGTAAAAATGTTATATATTTTCGCAGTTCCATGCTTCCCATCCCCCCTTGTACTAAATCAAAAGTTCAAATGGATTCCACTTTTCTTTCTTCCTTAAAGGCCTAGGGAGTTTTTCTATAAAATGTTTCATTTGTAAATACCGCCACTCATCTACTTTAATGAACAGCTCCTTCTTCTTTTTCATTTCCGCTAGGGGGCAAATTTCCTCACCTTTCATTAAATCTCTTAATTGTGCATCTTCTTTTTTATCCATCTCCCAGCAACCTTTTCATTCCCCGGCGGGAAGAAATCTGTGTTTACAATCGGCATCAACAATTAGTTAAATTCCCATCCCATCTGTTTGCGCATTGTGTCCCACACTTTTAAAACAATTCTCGTGAATGTTCTTTTGCTATCTTTCATTCCACGACAATGAGGTGGTAACCATATTATCTTGCTCAAATGTGTTTTTACTTAATGTGTTTTCTATATTTATCCAACTTTTGTGGGGGTGGGTGGAGAGAAAAAAAAAAAATCCCTCTCCTCTTCATCGTCCCCTCCCTCCCTCCCTCCCTCCCCCTCCCCCTCCCTCCCTCCCTCCCCCTCCCTCCCTCCCTCCCTCCCCTCCCTCCTCCCTCCCTCCCCCCTCCCTCCCTCCCCCTCCCTCCCTCCCTTTCCTCCCTCCCTCCCCCTCCCTCCCTCCCTCCTCCCTCCCTCCTCCTCCCTCCCTCCCTCCTCCTCCCTCCCTCCCTCCTCCCTCCCTCCCTCCCTCCCTCTCTCCCCCTCCCCCTCCCCTCCCCCCTCCCTCTCTCTCCCCCTCCCTCCCCCTCTCCCCCTCCCTCCCTCCCTCTCTCCCCCTCCCTCCCTCCTCCCCTCTCTCCCCCTCTCCTCCCCTCCCTCCCTCCCCTCCCTCCCTCCTCCCCTCTCCCTCCCTCCCTCCCTCCCCTCCCTCCCTCCCTCCCCCCTCTCCCCTCCCTCCCTCCCCCCTCCCCCTCCCTCCCCCCCCCCCCCCCCCTCCCTCCCCCCTCTCCCCCTCCCCTCCCTCCCCCCTCTCCCCTCCCTCCTCTGCTCTACTATCTAATTTTTCCTTCTAGCTACCTGCCAATCCTCTTTTTCAATAGCCCAAATCTCTTCTTCCCACCCAGGTATCTCTATTCTCTGCAAATCAAGTCTCTTGCAAAAGTCTCTCACATCCTTAGGAAATCTCAGTCTTGCTATAAAATATGCCCATTTTTCCATCCGATTAAACACGCCAGAAAGCCCCATCTATATTGCACATTTTGCTTCCCCATCTGCTCCAACAATGGTTTCAAAGATCTCCTTATTTTCAATGTCTCTGCTGCTAAATCAGCAAAAATCTGGATATTTATCTCTCCATATTTAATTACTGTTCTTCCTTTGATCTTCCATATCTCTTCTTTATCCCCATAATTATGGAATTGTACAATTACTTCTCTCGATTTTTCTTTACCCTTTTCTTGTTGGGGCTTTCCTATTTATATACACCGTCCTCAGGAGGGCAAGTTGTTAAATATACCAACAACACAAAAATACAATTGAGACTTTAAGGGTACACACATATTATGTTCTATTAAAATTTCCAGCCATATGAACCAAACTTTATCAAATTTGGCTGGACACTCTGCTACTGCTGTAAGTGGCCTTTTATAGAGGAAGAACAGAATTCAGCAAAGATTTCCAGGTAGCTACAACTGAAGGTACAGAGGATTTCCATTTTAATACAATTGTTTTTTTACCATAAAATAATAATACACCAAGCAATTTTCTAGTGGTCTTTCTTAGAGCCAAAGGCTCCACTATTATTTACCAAGCCTAGTGGGTGTAAGATCATATCTGTGAGTAATTCTAAAGTGTACGAGTCTGTGTTTGCTGGAGATTAAATTACTGAACAGGTACTCTACTGTAATGTAGCTACTGACTTTAAATTTTTTAACACAAATTTCTTAAATTTTATTGTAATAAAATAATTATGTATTTATATGTGTGGATAAAAATTGCAGTGTCCAGATGTGAAAAGCTCATAGAGACCTAGCCACACAGAAAATTGTTGTCAAAAGTGCATCTACTAAATATTGGTAGGGTGGATGGGGATTATGCAGTTAGTGGTTTTGTGTATGTGTTTTTCATTCTAATTGAAATTATTTTGCAGTGGTCTTTTTTCAGTAAGACATCAAAGAGTATAATTGTGTTAATCAGTGTAAAAAATAAATAGATCCACTGTGATTGAATGTCCTATGATAATAAAATGTGAAAACTTCCATGGGGGTAAATACTTTAACTCTCCTGATTAATGCTAGCATCTCCACAAAAGATATTGAGCAACAGCCAACCCAAGGCTGCAGTACTTCATAAAGGTGCTTGTGTATTTCAAGCAATAAGGCTTATTACAATTGACACCCCAATTGTAGGTGGCACTTGCTAAGGAAAAATAATGCATACTCTCTTTTGGCTCTTGTATGTACCAGCTTTTAAATGTCTTTTCTGCAAAATTCATCAGCAATATTTCTCACACTTTCTTTTATTACTACTTTGATTGTGTTTTGCTTCTGCCACAGAGCCCTAAAATGTCTGTTGCACAAAGTTCTCAGCCTGATGAGATTCAAACATTACACCCAAGCAAGGAAGAGAAGCTAGTAATTGAGGCTTCAGTACAGCGCAAAAGCCCCTCTCCTAAGAAGATCTCCCTGGACAAGAAAGCAAAGGAAGGTGCTCATTTGACAGCTGATGGTGAAGACACAGCCAAAGATCATATCCAGCAGAATATGAAGAATGCACACCAGCCAAGCACAGGTCCAGCATCCCGGGCTGCTCATGGCAGCAGTAACTCAATTCCTTACATTGACTGCAGTGATGTAGATAGCGAGTATGATATTCACAGAGCGCTTTTGGTCCGCTCTCAGTCCCAAACAAATGACAATGATGAGATTGGATTTCATTGTAGTAATGGAATCTATCACACAGATGAATATCCCAAACGTTCCAAACTGAGACAGCAGATTTCCTCTGTTAGGTCATCATCTAATATTATTGAAGAGTATATTGATGATGACTCAGCTGGTATGTCTTTTTATGCTGGCGGGAGTCCAAAAATGCCCAGGCACAGCTCTTTAATAGATGAAATGTTCAATGGGCCAGGCAGCCGTAGTCCCCTAGCTGCTCCATTGTGCCCCAGTAGCAAAGGATCAAGTCCAAACATGAGTTTTAATAGGACAGGTTCACCCAGTTATATTTCAGCAAATGCATACAATAACAATAATGGGGTGGTGATTCCAGAAGACTATGAACTGGTTAGCCAAAGCTATGGCTATGCCAGGTATAGCCCATCACTGGACAGTAAACATATTCATAAACTTAAGGCTGGCTATCGTAACCATTCTGATACCGATCCTTTTATTTTAAGTCAAATGTCTTCCACACCAGTTACTGACCATAAAGCTGAAGAGCAAAGGATAGACCATCTTTCCAAGATGGCTGCCCTGGAAGCTAAAATGATGTCAAATGGCATTTTTGACACTAGACAACTTAGGTGCAGTCCAGTATTGCGGCCAGCAGCTCTAATACAAGATCAAATGAGTGCTGTCCCCATGACTGATGGTTCTACCAGTAGTGGTAGTGAATCTAGCGATACAGATTCAGACATAGTTGATTCTTTCAGCCACCCACTTGTTTATGGAAACCCAATAGTGTTAAGCTCTTCACCAATGCCAAGAAATAACTACTCATTTGGTAGCCTTCAGCTGGAGGAGTATGCAGAAGAGATACATGATGAGGATACCGTCCTTAGTTTTAGTGATGAAGATGGTGCACATATTTTCAGCTGCTGAGCAGTTGAATAGAAGAGCATTCATCTTGGCTACTAAAAGTTGCACAGGTTAAAATTGTTTACGGCATGCAAAAAAAAGTGCTATAGTTGCATAGGTAGTTTGCACATTATCTTTACTCAGTTCTAGAAGTAAATTAGCTACTGTTTTATATAATTTAATAGTGTTGATGTTGCGAAGATTTCTTCTTATTGGTCTTTTGTACTGTAGTAGCACTTGCATAGATTTTTGTAGATGACTTGTTTGTAAATTTTTATTAATGCACATAGGATAGCAGTATTAGAATTAGATTTAGGGGCCACACAAGTTGTTGAGCTTGATTTGCACTAATCATTTTTAAATGCAGCCTTCTTAAAGTCTGATGCTCAACCTCTTGTTTTTAATGTAATTTTAGCAAAAATAACTGGTGTTCTGGTGGTAATTGAACATTACACTTTAGTGCCACGGTTATACTGTAAGCCATACATGTGACAAACGTATTGTTTAGATTAGAAATTGAATATATTTTCTTTATTCAGTGCCTATTGTCTATTATGAAGTGATACAGTGCTGCAGGGTAGAGTATTTTCTGATCTGAGATTTTGTAGTTTTTACCCACTCTTTGGAAGGGGGTATTTTTCACAGTTTGAGTAATACAGTATACTAATTTACTACTATATATTTTTTGAGAGGATACTACATCCTAAAATATTTATGTTATGCACACTTAATGTTTTTTTTTCCATGTAAGTAGATTAAATCTGCCTTTAAATTTCACACTCTGTTAAAAGTCAGTCTCATGGCCCCAGCAGAACTTTGGTGTATGGCATTAACTACAAAACCACACTGGCCCTGGCTAAGAGATAAGAAGGTCAGACAGAATTAAGATTGCATTGCCTGTAATAATGCTTTACTGTTACTCTGGTGCTAGTAACATTTCATACACTATACTACACTAGTTGGCTAATGAAAATGACATTCACTTTAAACTTTTGTTATGTGTGACATAACTGATCCTGAAAGACAGGCCATTGTACAGGATACCCTAGGTACAAATAGTGGAGTCGAGCAGGGTGAGAAGGGATATTGGTGGTGTCTGCAAGGCAAAGGATGCATGTTTATGCAAATCATTATTTGGTTGCTTTCTTATTGGCCATCTGCTGACTGAAGTATGTGGTTATCTTTAAGGTGGTTACAAATTATATGAAAGACAAAGGATTTTTTCAATATTCCTGGGTGGTTTAGACATCTGCAAATGCCACTAACATATGGGCTGCTTGTATCCAATTTGTTGTGCCCTTTACTTGTTTGTTTTCAAGACAATCTTTGAACACTAATATACTTGTGATGTACTACTTTGGAACGTTCACTCTCACTCTTGTCATTTGTTATTATGCTATGAATCAGATATTTATATATGTTTTAAGCACTGCTTTTGTCTGCATGTACTGTACCTCAAACAAAGGATGTGGAAGGGGCTACTGTCGTCATCCTCCAGCATGTTTTATCCTGTTACTTACATTTTTCCTGGTCTTGTTTTAATGTTTCTTTCTTTAAATTACCCCTTTATGAATACATGGTCTTTTACCCTAAAACAACAGTGATCTAATCAGCCAGGGTTTCAACTAATTTTGTAGTCTATGATAAAGCCATATTTCTGCTGGGCCCTTTTTTCTAGTTTTGGACAGAGTGGAGAGGAATTAGAACACCTGTCAGGTTTTTTATTGCTGTCTGCACCCCATTAGGGAGACTCACCCCTTTTGTTTGTCCTGTTTACTGTTATCACCGAAAGTGAAAGTAAAAGAAAATCCCAAATTTTGTGTTGACATCAGAACACCAATAGAAGGGAAATCTTCCAGTGGAGACACTGGTTCTGGTGACAGACCAGGATTCACTCACTTTAGTGGGATTTTCTCTCACTTCCTGTTTTGCCTATGGGACAGGAAGTGAAGGGAAAACTCACCAATGGGACACATATGGAAAAAAAAACTGAGGGGGTGTTCTAACCTTCCCTTACTCTATCCATAATAGAAAACAGTTTTGCCTTTAGTTACACTTTGTTGTATTATCAAAATTTAGCCAAGCCAGTATCTTTAACAGCATATGAAAGAGAATTTTTAAATTTGATATCATGAAGGCTGATCTTAAAATTCGCTAATGTCTACTGCATTCCAGAGACATGGGGAAAGCACTCTGGAATAACACGTGCCACACAGTTGTACTGTTTGTCTTCATAATTGTTGGCCTAAAATGGAGAAAAACTGAGCACTTGTCTCCCTGCTTTTCTCTGTCAGCTGTGAACATGCAGATTTTCTTTACTGCATAAAGTCTTGCTTTGTTCTGTATATCTTCCCTTTTCCTCTCTGTCCTTTACCAAAAAGAAACTGATATGGGTAAAGGGAAAACATTTTTCAACACTACTCTTTTTGTGGTGTGTCTTAAAATTGCTGTTACCATGGCAAAGATCACTGATGTTCTTATGGGAGGGACATTTATTTTTCACAAGCACTACATTTATGACCAAGGTGTAACAATGTTTTTACACTGGAACAGAAGCAAAAAGAATGTTTTACTGTGTTAACAGGGCTGCACTGTATTGGCAAAATAACTTTTGATGGCCAACTAAAGACTAAATCTTTGATTGGCTAACAGATAACATAATATGCCTAACAAACATGTTAGTCTAATGGTGGTATAGTTTTTGCCATGAAAAAGGGTATCACTGTTACAGAATTATGTGTCTTTTTCACTACGCAAAATGTTTGATTACATATTTGCACTAGTGAAAAATACTGTTACACCATGGACAGCAGTTGTAGTATGAGATGGTGACACCTCTGTGTGATATTAATACATGAGTGTACTGGCTGAGAAAGTCACTGGCTGCCTGTGCAATGTTCAGCTTGGTGAATTTCGGTGCATGTAATGCATTGCTTATCTTCAACCACGCCAAAAGCTTTACCTATATCCAGCCTACTGTACAACTGTCATTTGTTTATCTGTTTTTGTCAATTTGCTGACCATCTGTGGTGATAACATAGTCAATGGGTAAGATGTTACCGTACACTAGATTTTCTGCCTACTGTGCTGCTCTGTATTCCATGCTTCTCTCTTATGTGCAAACTCTTTTGCTAAAAGCTCCTTTCAGCAGCTTTCACATGATTAGAACTTTTGATCAAGCCTCAAATGTTTTTACCAATTTTATATTTACCTGTGCTTAGGGTATTTTTTTACACAGGTTATTAGGTATGTTTGTACCAAATCTTTGAACTTAGAGAATCACGTGACACAAAGTTGATAGTTATAGAGATGACTGAGCTACATGCAGCCTTATGAAGGATGAAGTATACTCTATGGAAATTCTTGCCTTTTTCAACATATTTGAACATGGAAATATTAGATCTTTAGTTATACAGTGCCTACAGATAAAGGTGATACTTGAATAAGAGCTCAAGAATAATTTGCTTTTTCGACCAGTTATCAGTAGATGTAATGGTGTGGTGTGAAGTACACCCTTGCAATCAAGTTGGTATTGCCCCATGTAATAGAAATTACTACCTTGTAGGCATTTTGTATAACTTCTCCACATTTTCTTGTGTGTTTCCTTGCATGAACTGGACATATCCCCCCCCCCCCTCCAATTTATAAAATATCAATGAGATTCAAATCACCACTTTGACTAGGATAATCCATAATCCTCTTTTTTTTCAGAGCCTTTCTTTGGTGCATTTGCTGGTGTGCTTTGGTTCGTTCTCTTGTTGAAAGACTTCTTAGCAGTCTTTAATGTTGGCACAGATAGCCTTACATTCTCATCAAGTACGCTTTCATATCATGCAGAATGTAAAGTTGACTCAGACTGTGAGCTACCCAGGCATTGAAGCTGCAAAGCACCCCCAAACCATAATATTTCCGCCATCATATTTGGCAGTTAGGAGGCTAAGCTTCTGAGATACTGTCTTCAGTTTGTGGTAAACATGTCTACAGTTACTGTGACCAAACAGCTCAGTCTTTGATCTGTTTTCAGTACATTGTTCCAGAAGACCTTGTCTTTGCCTATATGGTAATCTTGTTCATATGTTCTTTTTGAACAGCAAAGACTTTTTTTTTTTTTTTAACACACCTCTCACACAGGTTGAATTGGGTGCAATCTACCTGATTGCACCAGAAAGACTAGGTTGACATATTTGCAAGTCAGAGAGCACAAGCTAAACACACGCGTTCCCCAACCAGCAAGAAAATGCGCTGCTCTTTAGCAGACACGCAGGGGTGCCAATAATTGTTAATGCCACCCCCACGTATTTAAAAATAAAATTTCCACGTAGCTGTGTTCAGAAAAAAGGGTCAGAGACTTTTTTCCACATTTCCCACAGGTACAAATGAATGGGCTGCTGGTTCCATGCATACACAGCACACAGTACCAGCAGATGTGTGAACTTTGCCTAAGAAGGTTGTAAGCTGCAAAACCCAATTCAAATTTCATGATTTTTAAGTGGTGGTGAAAGTAGGAGTGCACTTATCTTTCGTATCTCTATTTACCCATTTAAATCATGGAAATTAATACACCTTTGAAATGTTGTGTCATTTGTATAAGTCTATCACCTTTTATCAGTAAGCACTATTCAAATCAAGATCTTATGTTTCTTGTTCAAATATGTTGAAAACATCAATTTTCATATGTCTACTTACTTTTTCACATGACTGTAATGACATTTAAATAATTATAGACATCTGTACTTTGAATTTCTATATAGAAGAAAACAGGCTGCAGCATTAGCAGTGTGAATTTGAGAATGATTCTTTTGCCATATCTCTTCCTCCTCCTCTTATACTGTGTATACCTTTTATATATTTGTGGCTAAAAAAGGCAGAAGATTTAATATTTATCTTGAGATCTTCAGATTTTTGGAAGTTATCATTAGCAAAATTTGCTATACTATAGCAAATGTAAAAAATGTTTGCTTTAAGAAACAAATACATTTTCGGTTTGCTGCTGCAATTAAATATCCCTCCACGTATTTGGTGTATTGTTTTAGGCTCCATGCACACGAGCGATTTTCTAAGCTCCTAGTAGCTATTATCAGCATTATTATTATTATACAGGATTTATATAGCGCCAACAGTTGTGTGCAGCACTTTACAAGATGAAGGCAGACATTACAGTTACAATACAATTTGGTGCAAGATCAAACAGAGGGCCCTGCTCGTTAGAACTTACAATCAGCATAATTTTTTCTGCTCATAGAAGCTAAATAGTGTTATCCTATGTGTCCACGCACACTACGTTAGGTTAATAGCATTTTGTGAGCTTCATCATCTAGGAACAGAAAAAAAATATTTTTGCTGAGTTTTTTTGAAGCGATTTTCAAGCAGAAAAAAAACACTAAATGCTACTAAAATGCTCCAAACTGCTTTTTTCTAGCTTTTTTTTTTTTGCTCTACATGTACTGTATAAAAATGCTAATAAAATGCTAACACTTCTAAATGCTACTAAAAACTATTAACCAGCGTTTTTTGATCTTAAAAAACCGCTAGTGTGCATGGAGCCTAATACTTACACTGTGTGCTTTTGGCTTCGGGATTGTTTCTGTAAGCAGTTTTAAGCCATTTTTCATCTGAGAGATTCTCAGAGAGCCAATTGCAAGTTACAGTTACCGATTTTATTGAATTTTTTAGTATGTCCATCCAAGTGGCCCAATTATTCTTACAACTATTCATATACACCTAACAAGAGGTTGAAAAAATATGTTCCCTCTTGAAATGATAGTATTAATAATTGTAAGGCATCACCACTGGCTGGCCTAATTCAGCATACAGCTTTCAAGTGTTACAAAGATGGGGAGACAAAAGAGGTACACTTTTATAAGTTAAATCTTTCACAGTTGTAGTGAGAATCCCTTCAAAAATGTGATGCAGTAGATTTGAATTTGTTCTAGGAGGGTTGAAAAAATGTTTTGCTCATAAGAGAGAAAGGTTTATATATATAAAAGGGCTATAGAATGGCTATAGAATTATGTTTTTAGTGGTGTTATCCAAGAAAATCTGTTATGGTGCCATATACAGAAAATATATAAAGTGAAACTATTTTTTTTTACTTAATAATCAAGTATATGAAAAGCCTATAAGTTGCAATTACATCTTTAAAATGATTTAAAAATACAAATCCGACTAATCACAATTGCATTTACATTACAGCTAGTTACATATGACTCTAAATAGATGTAATTGCAAATTAATTTCCACATCCTGGCCATATGCATTATTATAACTTTGTCTTCCCAGCTTCTAGAAAATATAAATTATTTTGATGGTCTCATGCAATTTTCTTTTGAATGTCATTTTCTTTATTTTTCATGAGATCACCTTCTTTTTGGATATATATCTAGTGGAAAGTATTTGGACAAGTTCTGATTTTGTTTTGTGATAGTAAATGGAATTTGTGAACTGTAGACTAGTTTGTTGGTTAGTTTTTTGGTCATGAAAAGAAGATTTTTGCATGCTTTTTAATCTTTTGATTTGTAAACGACCAAGATTTTCTGTGCCCTCACACTGTTGCCTGTGTTGTGTAAGTTGGTGCTAGGATATTCTCCTGTTTTTATTTTATGGCACCAGTTGGTTTGGATATTTGCTTTTACCCTTTTCATTTCCCAGTGTGTGCAAGGAGCCAGAGTCTTTGCAGATAGAGGTGAATGGGTAAACATACTCTTAACTGTTTTTTTTTTTTGATATTTAGAAAACTAGGATACATTTGAATAATTAATACAGTTCCTGTGATACACATATACTTCTTCAAAATGTGTAAATTTGTAATACTGGTTTTTAGCATCAATAAAATTGGCACACATTTGTGTAATCTCTTCCTGAAGTGTGTGTTTAATATTGTTTTTGTAGATTTAGAACTGCATGTGGCCATTTTTCCAGACATACAGAAAACTCCACCCTAACCACCTAAATAGAAAGCAATATAATATTGTCCAGCTATGAATTATTAGTGAAGTTAGAAAACAGATGTTTTAGGCTTATTATATATCAATGCCGTGCCTCTACTGGCACCTTTAATAGGGTGCTGGCACTCCTACTGCAATATGAAAAACACCCCACTGCTGCCTGCTGTGTTCAGTTTGAGTAAAGATTTACTGCTTGCTTTATTTTAAACAGAGCAAATCATCCTCTGAAATCTAGCACATAACATTCCTGTAATCTTTTACTTCCACTGCATGATCAGCAGCAGCAGAACTCTGTATTTTACAATAAATGTTGCAATTAATTTTAATATTATACATTTTAAAAAGGATAGAGTCTTTATTTTTCTAATAATCATTTATTACATGACAATTGACTCCTGTAAGCACTTCGGGTTGGCTAAAGAGACAGCATAGCAGAGCTATGTGCTTTAATGCACAATGTGTCTGAATTTTGAATTGAGCTCTTCAATAAGAAAGGAGTCACTGAGATGATTCACTGAGTTTATCAAAAAGAAACAACGAGCTTTTAGAATCAGAACCTTTAAAACCCTAAACCACCCCTCCTAGTGCATACTTCTCCCATGGTGTTTACAGCCTTCATGAAAAATGTCTCCTTGTGTTAGCTACCCGTGCGCAGTAACTCCCAATGGACTTAATGGAGCCATACTCCTCCATCTCAGCTGTATGAGTATGGCTTCATAATTGTCTGTAGAGGAGTTACTACACAGGAGTGGCAGAATCGGGGGAGATTTCTGTTTGGAGAATGTAAAGACTACCAAAGAGAGGTAAGTTTGTACTATGGTGGGGAAGTTATAGGTTATACTACCTTAGGGGGCCAGGGAGGAAGGCTGGCTTATTTTCTACAAGAAGTGTAGTTGTACTTTAACCATTTATTAATAAATATTGATAAATAAAACTCTCATAGTTCATGGGAAATTAGTGATCTTTTATTGTACAAAAATACGGGGAATGCCACAGTCTTAAGTTTCATTAGGTGTTCCATTGCTGTACTGGCTTTCTATAGCCAACACCTATGAAATTCCTCCCATTTTTCTTACACATTTTGAAAGTGTTTTTGTAAATCTATACCCTAACCTTATGGCATTCACAACCCTACAGCCATGATGAGAAACGTGACGTCTTCCTAGGCACAGGCTAATCAGGTTTCCTCTGAATGGCACTCATGTTTCCTTTCAAATTGTCAAGACATGATGTGCTATTTGTTTGCCATCACTTCTTATCCTGTGTGTAATTTTCTTCATTGAATGAATGACTAGCTATGCTAGTATCTCTGTCCCAAGCGTTCAGTGGAGCATGAATGGAATTACGTCAAAAGGTATACTGTGTCTGTTTTGTGTAGTACTGGCAATGTAGTCCTTCCAGCCTTTGTCATTTGTCTCATCTGCAGTGAAGTTTTGTATAGTAGTAGGCCTCTGTAGATTCTCTCTAACAAATGTCCTTTCTGTAATGTAGTTGCTGAGCAGATCCCACCCCCCATATATTGTGTCCTGCTCAATGTCTAATTTGTTAAAACACTTGAAATGATCCTCCAAATGTACCTATAGCTCAATATATGCTAGATGTCCGATTTTATAATAATTTTAGCTTGCTGGAGAAAGTGAACCCTGCTTTGATCATTTGCAGAGCATATCCTTCAGGAGAACTAAATATGGGGCATTAGTCTATGGGCTAATGTTTTTTTTTCCCTTGTAATCATTAGTCAGAGGATCAGCTTGTCTCTTTGGGATTAAGCCCTTCAGTGTATCAGAGCTGCTTTGTATTTCTACTAGTGTGCTTGTGCTGTAGAGTAGCTGGGAAATTCTATGTTTAGTTTGGAATAAAAGGTACAAACACACTAAATAAGTATCTTTGTTGTTTATAGGTTCATTAACAGGGAGTCCACACCTCTCAGAACTGTCAATTAATTCTCAAGGAGCAACAACAGGGCTAAACTCCACATTATCGCCAAACTTAAGTCCTGATGGAAAGCCTTCTTCTCCTCTCATCAGTCCATTGCTGAACGAGCCCATCTGTATCAGAACTGATGATGAGGAGGATAGCCGGAAAAAGGTACTCTACTCTACCTTTCTATTTTGGTCCTTCTTTCAATTTCATGCAATAAGGGCACACACAGATTTTGTCTTGTGTGTATGTTCAGATGTAATAATTATATAGCGTATACAATTTTGAAATCCCACCTTGACATGACATAGTAAAAGCTTTTCCAAAATTATAACTTAAATGATAAGTTCACATTATAAAAAAAAAACAAATTTTTTAGCAGGTAAAGAACAATTTATATATATATTATTTTTTTTTTTTTGCCGGAGCCTAGAAAGCAATGCATAAGTGATCAGCAGATCAGTCTGTCTCCAGCAGACTATTAGTTTAATCTGTGTGCTTGTACCTCATATGAGCAGACAGTTTAACAGGAAGACTGAATGACCTACAACAGCGTGCCACTGTACCATGGTAGTTCATTGAGAACTACAAGGCGACATTCGCAAAGGATGTTGGTACTTGTAGTTCATTTATGCACAGAACTGTGTGAATGAATGATGCGGCTGTGTGGGTGGAGCCCTGCTAGGCTAGGCTGATTAAAAAAATTGATAGCTAGTATGGGGAACTTCTGTCACAGGGAATGGGGGGGGGGGGTCGGGGTCGGGCAGCGACTGCATCAGTGGGAACATGTTACACCTTCCACCCTAAAAAACAGGTGGAACATGTACCATGTTCCCAAAGGAGAGCTTATCCTTTTAAGTCCAATTGACGTCTTGAAAATATCATTTCAACCAGACAGTTAATGTAATAATGGTTCCCATTTTTACAGTCTGTCTTTTGCTTACACTTCAGCTATGTAGGATGTCAAAATATGATTGTGCAGTCTAGGCATCAGAAAAGGTCAGTAACCCTGACCTGGCTAGATATTATTATTATTCTTATAATACAGGATTTATATAGTGCCAACAGTTTGCTCGGCGCTTTACAATATAAAGGGAGACAATACATCAACAATACAGTTCAATACAAGAGGGCTAGAAGGGCCCTGCTCCAATCTAAGAGGGAGGGGCTGGTGGTACAAAAAGGTTTTAACTGTGGGGGATGAACTGATAGGAGGAATAGAAGATTCCGTTATGAGCTGAAGGCAGGATAGGCTTCCCTGTAGAGATAGGTTTTCATAGCCTAAAAGTGGGCAGAGTAGGAAATAGTCGGAAAGATTGGGGTAGATAGTTCCAGAGCATGGGGGAGGCTCTGGAGAAGTCCTGGAAACGAGCATGGGAGGAGGAGACAAGGGGGCTAGAGAGCAGGAGGTCGTGGGAGGAGCAGAGAGGACGGTTTGGGTGATATTTGAAGCCAAGATTGGTGATATAATTTGGGGCAGGATTATAAATGGCTTTATATGTTATTGTTAATGTTTTGAATTTTATTCTTTGGGCAATGGGAAGCCAGTTGAGGGATGCAGAGAGGGATGGCAGATTTGTAACAGTTAGTAAGGTGGATTAGTCTGGAAGCAGCATTCACAATAGACTGAAGAGAGGATAGCCTGCGATTAGGTAGACCAATGAGGAAGGAGTTATAATAGTCAAGGCAAGAGATAACAAGGGAGTGAATAAGTTGCTTAGCTGTTTCAGAAGTTAAGAACGGGCATATCTTGAAGATGTTGCAGAGGTGAAGTCTACAAGATTTGGACAGTGATTGGATTTGGGGCTGAAAGGACAGATGGGAATCCAGGATTACACCTAGTACCCTGGCATGAGGGGAGGGACTGATGGTTGTATTATTTATCTTGATGGAGAATTCGGGAGGGGGGCAGGGCAGGGGCTGGAGGGAATAGTATGAGCTCTGTTTTGAAAAGATTTAGTTTGAGGAAGTGGAATGATATCCGTGCTGATATGTCACTTAGTAGGTTAGTAATGCGAGAGGAGACTGAAGGGGTGAGGAGTAGAAAGATAGATTTGTGTGTCCATCAGCATAGAGATGGTACTTAAAGCCATGGGAGTTTATCAAGTGACCAAGCGAGGAGGTGTAGATGGAAAAGAGTAGGGGTCCAAGGACAGAACCTTGAAGGACCCCTACAGAAAGAGGAAGTGGAGAGGAGGAGACAGGTTATATGTAATGCTTAAGGAGCGCTGTGATAGGTAGGGGAGAACCAAGAGAGAGCAGAGTCTTGGAGGCCAAGAGAGTGGAGTTTTTTGAGGAGGAGGGGATGGTCAACAGTATCAAAAGCTTCAGAGAGGTCAAGTAGTAAGAGTACGGAGTAGTGGCCATTGGTTTTAGCAGTTAATAAATCATTAGTGAGTTTTAGTAGGGCTGTTTCAGTGGAGTGGAGTGAGTGAAAGCCAGACTGTAAAGGATCAAGAAGGTTGTCAGTGTAGTAGGAGCTCAGGTGATTGTAGACTAAGCGTTCTAAGAGTTTAGAGGTAAACGGGAGCAGGGAGATGGGTCTTAAGTTGTTTAGGTTGGTGGTGGGGTCCAGCGAGGGTTTTTTAAGTATGGGAGTGATCTGTGCATGGGAGCATAGGACAGAAGCAGAGGTTGACCGTAGTAGTTGAGAGGAGACAGGATCCAGGGGGCACATGGTGAGACACAGGCTTCTGAGAAAACTTTAGTGACCTCTTCAGTAGTAGCAAGGTCAAAAGAGGAAAGTGTGGAGGGAGGTTTAGTATAAAGTATGCTAAGTGGGATAGATCAAAACAGGGCGCACTTTCCTTGTGCATTACTGTGATAATATGAAATTTATTATAAAAATACAAATGCATACTCACAAGCCAAAAATGTCATAAAAACAGAGACAAGGAGTCAAAGGATGCCAGTCGTGGACAACATAGGTCCTCGGGTAATGTACTAACACGTTTCGGGAGTCTAACTCCCTTTCTCAGAGCATGGACACATAGACTAACATGGAGGGGCATTTTGAGGCAGAAAAAAAAAACACTTTCTGCCCCTAGGACATACCTGTATATGAGATGAAGTAGTTATACTGGGGCCATGGCTGCAGCTGCAGTAAGGAGTACCTATCACTGGCCGCCCATGCTATCATGTTGTTCATACCTTGTGATAGCAATAAAAGTGATCAAACATTTTTGTAAACAGACTGCATAAAAAAAAAAAAATCAAAATGAAATAAATGGCAACATTTTAAAAAAAATGTAACCGCTTCCCATCCGGCCACTGTACACAAATGGCCAGGTGGGACAAGTGCTGTTCTGACTGGATGCCCATGGGCACAGCACATCACAGTTCAGGATATGAGCTCTCTGATTGGCCCTCCCAATCATGCAATGGCTGTGTCCTATCACAGCCATCACACAATTATATAACCATCAAACATTATATAACCCATTTTTTTTGGTAAAATATAAAAAATTCACTAGATTTGACATTGAGTTCCCTAATCACATGGAGAGCCTGGAGAGGCATCGGTGTGCAGCAGGAGGGGGGTGCTAATCAGCTGCTAGGTTGGCTTTTACAAATGAGGGAATCACCGGCTGCAAAAAAAAGATACCGGGATTATGCCTGTAGCTGCAGGCATCATACCGGTATAAGAGCTGATACCCATACAGGTCCACCTGTTGGGAAGTGGTTTTAAAGGCTTAGAGAAAGCTCCCTGAAGCTTGCTGAAAGTACCCTACAAGCTTGCTGTTCATACTACTCTAATACAAGCTGAAGCCTATGTGAAACAGGCTTAAGACTTCTTAACTTTATTCATAAATAGTTTGGGCCAAAGCTGGACTTTTATACATAAGCCCTATTTTGTTTTTGCTGTGAGAAATGCAAGTTTTAGGTCACTATTGCAAAACTGGTTGGAAAACTGAATGTTACCTAAACTTGTTGAAGGGAAGTCAAGAAATGCATTGTTACTGCTTAATATGAAATGTGTCCTTTCTGTTCACTATTATGTTTTCTTCTCTGCAGAGATTTCCAACTGACAAAGCTTACTTTATTGCAAAGGAGGTTTCAACCACGGAGTGCACCTATCTTAAAGATCTTGAAGTCATTACAGTGGTAAGTAATGTTCCAGTTTAATTGCAAAGTATACATTAATCAACAAATTCAAATTTACATTCACTATTCTTCAGTAAATAGATGGTTGAACACTAACAATACTGGGTTGACCACTGAGAGGTAGACAATATTTTTGTTATAGTGTTTTTCATTAACCTTTGATTGCTCTGTTCTCTTTATACAGTCAGGTCCATAAATATTGGGATATCAACACAATTCTAACATTTTTGGCTCTATACACCACCACAATGGATTTGAAATGAAACAAACAAGATGTGCTTTAACTGCAGACTGTCAGCTTTAATTTGAGGGTATTTACATCCAAATCAGGTGAACGGTGTAGGAATTACAGCAGTTTGCATATGTGCCTCCCACTTGTTAAGGGACCAAAAGTAATGGGACAGAATAATCATAAATCAAACTTTCACTTTTTAATACTTGGTTGCAAATCCTTTGCAGTCAATTCAGCCCGAAGTCTGGAATGCATAGACATCACCAGACGCTGGGTTTCATCTTTGGTGATGCTCTGCCAGGCCTCTACTGCAACTGTCTTCAGTTCCTGCTTGTTCTTGGGGCATTTTCCCTTCAGTTTTGTCTTTAGCAAGTGAAATGCATGCTCAATCGGATTCAGGTCAGGTGATTGACTTGGCCATTGCATAACATTCCACCTACCTCCTGGAGAGTGTTCTTGATCTGGCCAACTGTTGTGAAGGGTGTTTTCTTCACCAGGGAAAGAATTCTTCGGTCATCCACCACAGTTGTTTTCCGTGGTCTTCCGGGTCTTTTGGTGTTGCTGAGCTCACCGGTGCGTTCCTTCTTTTTAAGAATGTTCCAAACAGTTGTTTTGGCCACGCCTAATGTTTTTGCTATCTCTCTGATGGGTTTGTTTTGTTTTTTCAGCCTAATGATGGCTTGCTTCACTGATAGTGACAGCTCTTTGGATCTCATCTTGAGAGTTGACAGCAGCAACGGATTCCAAATGCAAATAGCACACTTAAAATGAACTCTGGACCTTGTATCTGCTCATTGTAATTGGAATAATGAGGGACTAACACACACCTGGCCATGGAACAGCTGAGAAGCCAATTGTCCCATTACTTTTGGTCCCTTAACAAGTGGGAGGCACATATGCAAACTGCTGTAATTCCTACACCGTTCACCTGATTTGGATATAAATACCCTCAAATTAAAACTGACAGTCTGCAGTTAAAGCACATCTTGTTCATTTCATTTCAAATCCATTGTGGTGGTGTATAGAGCCAAAAATGTTAGAATTGTGTCTATGTCCCAATATTTATGGACCTGACTGTATGTGCAGTTCTGTCTTTTTATACTATAGTGGGGAAAATAATTATTTGTTCCCCTGCAGATTTTGTTTGCCCATTTACAAAGAAATGAAGGGTCAATACTTTATTTATCATAGGTGTATTTTAAATGATAGAGACAGAATATCAACCAAAAATCCAGATAAAACACATTTTACTCACTGAACTGCAATTCAGTTTGTATCATATGTATTTGATCCCCTACCAACCAACAAAAATTCTGGCTCTCACAGTCTGGCTATGTGCTGATATGGTACACAGATTAGTCCTGTCAGTTTAAGAAACCTTAAAGTGTTACTAAACCCACAACAGTAAAATCAGTCTGTATATGCAGTAAAGTATGCTTGTTATACTCACTGTGGAACCTAAGGGGTTTGTATTGTGTAAAAAAACTGTTTGATCCTGTTTTCTCTGCCCTTCCTCTTGTTCAGATGTCCACCTGATAAAACAGACTGAACCCATAAGCCACATGCACATGCTCAGTTTAGTGTGTATTGCTAGAGAGGTTTTTTTTTGGGGGTTTTTTTTTTTTGGGAGAGCGCATGTGATCAGCACAGGGCCAATCAGCACTGTCCAGACAGAGGGTCAGGGGTTTTGCATCCTCCTAAAGCAGAAAGAAAACTCCTACAAGCTTTAACCAGTGCTCAGCTGAAATCACAAGACTGAAATACAAGAAATATCCTACCTCTGTACTTGCCAATAAAGGTTTCGCCACCAAGTACTAAGTCATGTTTTGCATGAAGATCAAATCTTTATTTTACTCACTGAACTGCAACTCAATTTATTACATTTGTATCATGTTTTTCTGGATTTATGGTTGATATTCTGTGTCTATCATTTAAATTACACCTATGATAACAAGTTTAGACCCTTCATTCTTTGCAAGTGGGCACACGTACAAAATCTGCAGGGGACCAAATAATTATTTTCCCCACTGTAAGTCGGTTTATACACAAACTACTGGTAGAAACTTTATGCTCCTCAAAACGGAGATTTCCTGAAAAATGAGGCTGTATGTTTAAAAGAATTTGAAAGCTAACATTTGTTTCCCTGAGCAACCAGTCAGATTCATGATTTCATGCACTAGAAATTGAAAGTGAGTATCTGGCTGCTGATGACAAAATTAGGTCTTTAAATCATGTAGCCAGGCTGCACATATGCCTTTATATAGCAAATATTGCTTGTTCTGTACCCACTTCAAAACTTAGAGAACCAATCACCAATGACCATTTGCAATAATCTGAATCTGCACTCTTCAAACATTGCAGCCTTACCATTTGGGAATTACTTCATTATATACTTGTGTTCTTGCCCTGTCAGTGCAGTGCAATTATCAGGCTGTAGTGCTATCTGCTGCCTTAGCTCACTGCTGATGATGAACAATCAATATGCTATGAAGTTAAAAATACTCTATGACCATTTTACCATCTTTGTTCAGCCTGTAGAGTGTTTGGTATCAGCCCTGAGCTGAGGCCAGAGAAAAAACATTCTTCATAGAAATCTTGATACTAGGGCCTCATAGCCATGAACCTACATTTCTACTCTGAAAGGAAAACAATACATGTGAATAACTGCACACACCATTTATTATTATTATTATAAAGGATTTATATAGCGCCAAAAGTTTGCTCAGCGCTTTACATTATAATGGGAGACAGTACACGAGACAGTACAGTAACAATACAATACACGAGGGGTTTGAGGGCCCTGCTCCTTGGAGCTTACAATCTAGGAGGGAGGGGGGATAGTGGTACAGGAGGAAATAGCTGTGGGGGATGGAGTGGTAGGAAGAGTGGAGGAGATAAGCAATTAGGTGAGGGCGGGGTAGGCTTGATAAAGCTCTACTATTACAACAACAGAAATTCTAATTCTTACAGATGCTTCCTTTAACCACTTGCCCTCCAGAGGATTTACCCCCCTTCCTGACCAGGCCATTTTTTTTTGCGATATGACACTGCGTTACTTTACCTGACAATTGCATGGTCATGCAACATTGTACATAAATGAAAATTATGTCCTTTTTTCCCACAAATAGAGCTTTCTTTTGGTGGTATTTGATCACCTGTGTGTTTTTTTTTTTGCACTATAAACAAAAAAGACCGACAATTTTGAAAACAGAAAAATATTTTTGACTGTTTAAAACATATCCAGTAAAAAAAAAATTTTTAAAAATAAAACTTCTTCATGAATTTAGTCCAAAATGTATTCTCCTACATGTCTTTGCTAAAAAAAATTCCAATACGTGTAAATTAATTGGTTTACGTGACAGTTATAACGTCTACAAATGGCAGGATATATACTGGAATTTTTTTTTTACTAGTAAGGATGGCAATCAGCAACTTATTGTGAGACTACGGTGGGCATTCTGACACTGGGGTGGAACTGACTAAATGCCACTGATATCCCCAGTGACACTAATACAGTGATCAGTGCTAATAAAAAGAACGCGCCCCCTACCCGGAAATGCAAATTCACGTATATATACGAGATTTTTGCGCATTACTGCTGCCCTGTAGCAGTACTTCTGCTATAGGGCCGTCAGGAAGCGGTTAAGGAATTTCTGTATGTATCAATGTGTACAGAATAGTTATTTGAACATATTTGTAAGATTACTGGAAAAATGAAAATGCGTTTTATTTTCTTTTGTTTTTTCAGTGGTTTCAGAACACAGTAAATAAGGATGACTCCATGCCAGAGCAATTAAGAAATCTTGTTTTCTCCAATTTTGACCCCTTACATAAGTTCCACTCTAGTTTCCTAAAGGAAGTTGATCAAAGACTTTCCTTCTGGTAAGATATGGATACATTTGCCTTCATCTAAGTGTATTGCAGCTTTTGGAAAAAAATCATGGAAAAAGCACTGGGCTATAAAATAAATATCTCAGCTCTATGAAGGCATGTACATGAATGTGAAATGCTATTTTTGAGTAAGGTATCCAGGCTTGATTGATGTCAGTGTGAATGGTTTCAAGACAAAATATTATCTAAAAGACACTAAGGGTCTATCGAAATGTTGTATCTAATGTAGCAGCCTTAAGTGAATAGATTGTATAGAGACTTTAAATGATTGAAAAAGATATTTAGATTTAAAGTGGAACTCGAGCCAAAACATTTTTGTTTTAGTTTAAATGACAAGGGGAAGAGTTAGATCACCTCCTAGATTGTAAGCTCGAAAGAGCAGGGCCCTCGAACCCCTCGTGTATCACATTCTATTGGTATTGTTCTGTCACATGTTCTGTCCCCCTTTGTAATGTACAGCGCTGAGCGAACTATTGGCGCTTTATAAATACTGTATAATAATAATAATAATAATAATAATCTGTTGTGTACTTTCTATTGTGCTGTAGTGTTTAGAACATTTTCCCTCACTTCCTGGTATTGTATTACAAGCACATGATGTCCTCCCAACAGGGATTCAGACAGCAATAAAACTATTAACAAAAAACTTATTTATTGCTGTCTTCTTGACCAAATAGGAAGTGTAGGGAAATCTCCTTAATAGGAGTAATCATTCACTTTGGTCACAGACTGCACAAGAGTATAGTCTAGTGTCCCTACCAGACTCAAGCATGTCTCACTCAAGCAGTAGGCCCAGATAATGCATTAGCTTGTTTTTCTTGAAATGTGGGTGGATGCCAGAACACACTAAACAAACCAAAAGCCAGGCAGAATACATGAAAATTCCATGCACATAGTGCTTTTAATGAAAATCCTACCAGGAGCCCCATTTTGTAAGACAAGCATACTAATTATTCTGCTGCTTGCTGTGGGGAACACATTGTCAACTGCGCAGGTTTTACATGATTGCCCTTCGATATCATAGAAGCATAGAACGTTTACTGAAATTTGAGCGGAGTAAAACTGTAGAAATTATAACTGTAGTAAAATTACACCTGATTGGTTACTCAGGGTTACTAGAGTTTGGCTGCTATTTTTAGAAGTTTTAGCAAACTTTTAATTGCACAGCTGGCAACCATCGTCCCTTTCTTATAGATGGTGGGCGGCACAGTGGCTTAGTGGTTAGCACGTCTGCCTTGCAGTAAATGGGTCATAGGTTCGATTCCCGACCATGGCACCTCCTGCATGGAGTTTGCATGTTCTCCCTGTGCCTGTATGGGTTTCCTCTGGGTCCTCCGGTTTCCTCCCACACTCCAAAGACATGCTGGTAGGTGAATTGGCTCCTGTCTAAATTGTCACTAGTATGTGTATGTATGAATGTGAGTTGGAACCTTAGATTGTACACCCCTTGAGGGTTAGGGACTGATGTGAATGTACAATATATATGTGTAAAGCGCTGCGTAAATTGACGGCGCTATATAAGTACCTGAAATAAATAAATAAAAAATAAAAATATAGATATTAAAATACAAAATATTGGTTGGTTGTCTTGATTTGTTCAATTACTTTTCAATCAAAAGCTGATATAAATCTAATTGGTGGCTGTAGGAAAATTACTATTTTTAGCAGTAACAGCTTTATATGAGGTCTATTCAATCACTGTAACATTTATTACTGCATTAGGCCAATGATTCGCATTTTAAATTAAAGTAATCACATTTGAGCCCATGTAATAATTTGAATTTTCAGTCTGAAATTACTGTAACTGCAGGCACCTAGGTAGGAAAAATGCATCCTTCCCCTTTTTTTTAGTTTTATTTGCTTTACCTGAGCCTAGCACATTGAGTGTGTCAGATAACAAAGGCTTTTAGTTAGAAGGAATGCCATCAATGTGACATGAAAGTTAGTTATAGGCAGAAAGACTTGTTTTAAAAAAAAAAAAACGCAACAGCCTTGAGAAAAGCTTTATAAATTGGTAATCTTTATACATTTTCAAAAGAGCAGTTTCAACGTTCACAATTGCATTCCTGTGTTTTCAGTCATGATATTATGTAACATTATGTTCTAATGATGCATTGTTCATTTATGACTTTTACATTCTCACAGGGAAGGAAGGTCCAATGCCCATATGAAAGGTGATCATCAAAAAATTGGGGATGTCATGTTGAAGAATATCCAGGGTATGAAGGTACTGTAGACATTTTGTGTTATTTATCACCAGTAAAGGAAAAAAAACATTTATTATAGAAAGCTAAATGTAAGCCTAGTATTATGTGGCTGCAGCTTAATTTGTAAAGATGGTCAAGAGTGTTACTAAGGGCCCATTCTTATTTTGTCATTCTGGTGCACTGTGTTAAAGGATAAGTTCACCTTTGTAAAAATAAATAAATAAAATGCACATGTTTGTGCAGCTAAAAAATGTGCATTTTTTTTGAAACTAGAACCTGTTCTTTGAACATGTTCCCAAAGGTGAACATAACCTTTAAGGCACACACGATAACGCATGGCGTCACATGTTATCATGAATTGCGTTAAGGCAGCCCATTCTGGTCTGCCAAAGCACCAGAATGGACATGCAGGATTTTTTAAGACATGTTGCACTACAACACACTTTGTGCTTTACCATGCATTGTGGTGCACTGCAACACATATGCAGCAAAGTTGCAATGCACTGCAATCTACTAACACATATAATGTGCATTAACTGGAATAGATAGGTGTAAGTGGACCCATAATGCCATAATGTTCAACCATAGATTAGACTAGGAAAGATGTAAAATCTAAGATAGTTTTATCATGGATGTGGTATATTCACGCCGTAAAAGTTTATAGTGTGTGGTGCGAAATGTTGAAAGTATCCAGCGAGTGTCAGTCCTGTACCCAAACACAACCTGTAAAAAAAAAAAGTCATAATCTCATCTCAATTTAGTGACAACATTGGTTTATCTATGGACAGCATATGTTTATGCATACATATTAACGCCATCATACCCCTGGAAAAGTGCATTCTAGTCCTTAAGAAAGTAACCCCATATCGATATGGAAAGCTTTGATATTAACTGTTTTATTTCCTTAACACAATTGCCTTTCCTTACAGCAATTCACAACCAACTATCAGAGGCACTATGATGTATTGATGGAACTGGAGAAAGCAATTAAAAATTCCCGCAAACTAGAAATTCTGTGTAGAGACTTTGAGCAGGAGAAGGTGTGTTACCTGCCACTGAACATGTTTCTCCTCCGGCCCCTGCACAGACTCATGCACTACAAGCAAATCATGGAGAGACTTTGCAAACACTACTCACCAAATCACATAGATTTTCCGGGACACTCGAGGTGAGAATTAAAGAAGAACTACAGAATTACACAGGATTAACAGTGGCATTTTGTAATGTGTCTGACTATATTTAGTACTCAAATAATGACTGCTGTGATCATATATCAAAGCAGTTTTATCGTTAACAAAGTCTCTATATTTTTATAGGGTATATTAAAGGGTAATATTTAACTTTGACTGTCATTCAAATTAGGTTAATATCACCCCGGAAACATTGCAGCTGTGGTGAAGTCCATTTGCTCATTTTACCCCAATGTGAGTTCTATGTAATTCGTTGCATGATTAAATCTACCTACCCCTCCAGCAGATGGAACCTCCAATCTTTGACCTTTTGCAAAGTTGTGGCTGCCATTGGTATCCAACATTTCCTGGTCCCCCTGCTGCACTGCATTTTGTGGTTCCTGCCCTTGGCCCCTATAATTTAATGCAGTCAAAGAGTGCTCTAGGAAGTACTTTGTTTTAACAGAAAAATAGACCTGTAAATTATTGCTTTATAATACACTGCTTCTGTACACTGTGCATCCCTGTTAAGGGCTTGTTAAGCAAACCTCTCAGCTGTTTTAAAGGTTTAACTACAAAAGTTTTTTTTTCTGCACCTCTCTAAAACTAATTTCTCTTTGGTAATTATGGCTACAGTTTTCTCATTTAGGACTTCCTACCAACCCACAATTCTCTGTCAAATAGAACACACTAGCAGGACAGTAAGGCTCTCTCATTGAAAAGGAGAATAGATTGGTGGGTAGGCTTTTGCTCCACACTTAGGCAAATGAAACTGAAACCACTGTCAGAGGGCAGGTTTTTCTAACAGATGTGATAGTAGATACTGTTCATTTTGATGCAGTCTTGAACATGTTGAACATTATTTTTTCTTATATGTTTAAAGGATAAATTCACTTTTTAACAAAAAATAATAAATGCACATTTTTTTGCAGGTAAAAAAATGCACATTTGCTATTTTTTTGTTTTGTGAGCCTGTAAAGCATAGCACCAGCATTCAGCTGGTGCCATGCAGGGTTCCTGTAGACCTGTCAGTGTATCTGTGTGCTCGTACCTTGCACTGGCAGGAAGAATCAATGAACTACTACAGCGCTCAACAGTACCGTGGTAGTTCATTAAGAACTACAAGCTGACAGCTGCAAAGGCTGTTGGAACTTGTAGTTTTCCCATTCACAGAATACTATGAATGATTTGACACAGCCGGGCAGGCGGAGCCCCGCCCAGCCACATTTCTATTTTTTAATTGTGACAGCAGGGGAGAGAAGATGCCCTGCTATATATAAAGAAGTAGTGCGACGCTACACGAATAACATATAATACAATATATAATATATACACTAGAATAACCACACAGATATAAAAGTGACTATAACAGGTACTGGTAACATTAAACATGCCCCCTCACTCCCACTCAGTGTAAATGTAAGTGAGGTGGGTAGATAAATCACATGTGAATACAGTTCACAAACAGCAAGTGGTGGGTCCTGCAACGCAGTACGACTTCATGCAGGGTGCATAAATCAAACTCTGGTGATGGTGAGTGACAATCCTCCTCTAGCTGAATTGCCCCCTCACCTTAATGCAGGGACCCAAAGGGCCTTCACGCCTTCAAGATCACAAGTGGGATCTTAACCACACATGCTGGCAGACAAGCTCCTCCAAGACTTGCATCAAATGGAGATGCTACACTGGGTGCCTTGGTTCCTGACCACCACTGGATACGCCACTAGTCAGGATGATAAGGAATATAGAAAACTCTGATAGTGTAGTATTCCAGATAATCAGTGCTTTATTACAAGTGAAATAGCACTTACATTAGATGAGCGCTGCCGTGCTTCCTTCCATGATCATATAAGATTCCAAGTGTTCCTCCTCACATGCATGGGTGTACTGCATGGGTGAATTCGCCTCACTAACAGATGTACCAAGATGGCCGTTTGTACCGGAGGAAGTCACGAGTGCGGTGACGCAACGCGAGAATGCAGCTTCCGGCGAGCGGTGACGTACTTCCGGTACAAACCGCCATCTTGGTACACCTGTTAGTGAGGCAAATTCACCCATGCAGTACACCAATGCATGTGAGGAGGAACACTTGGAATCTTATATGATCATGGAAGGGAGCATGGCAGTGCTTATCTAATGTAAGTGCTATTTCACTTGTAATAAAGCACTGATTATCTGGAATACTACACTATCAGAGTTTTCTATATTCCTTATCATCCTGACGAGTGGTGTATCCAGTGGTGGTCAGGAACCAAGGCACCCAGTGTAGCATCTCCATTTGATGCAAGTCTTGGAGGAGCTTGTCTGCCAGCATGTGTGGTTAAGATCCCACTTGTGATCTTGAAGGCGTGAAGGCCCTTTGGGTCCCTGCATTAAGGTGAGGGGGCAATTCAGCCAGAGGAGGATTGTCACTCACCATCACCAGAGTTTGATTTATGCACCCTGCATGAAGTCGTACTGCGTTGCAGGACCCACCACTTGCTGTTTGTGAACTGTATTCACATGTGATTTATCTACCCACCTCACTTACATTTACACTGAGTGGGAGTGAGGGGGCATGTTTATTGTTACCAGTACCTGTTATAGTCACTTTTATATCTCTGTGTGGCTATTCTAGTTTATTTATTATATATTGTACTATATGTTATTCGTGTAGCGCCGCACTACTTCTTTATATATTGTATTATCCAACTGGTGGTATCAGTTTAAGTGTTGGCTGCTTATTACGAGATTTTGCAGTTATACCATTAAGCGCAGGAGGATTTGACATATTTAAGATGCCCTGCTAGCTGTCAAAATTGAGGATCGGGGGGGGGGGGGGGGGGAGGGGCTGGTTCATTCGTAACGTTACATGCTACACCCTGAATATGGGTGTACCATTGTGAAAGGTGAACTTATCCTTTAAGATGTTTGACAGGCTCACATTAACATTATAGAAGTAGAAAATATTTATACCGTAGGTAAGTGAGAGCTTTTTATAGAAACTGCATTCTTCTAAATAATCTACATGCACTCAAACACAGAAAAAAATACCCCCGAGTTCCATAAATATGTTTTTTCTACATCATGTTTTGCAGACATAAGCTAATCCCTTTATTGTATGTACCAGTTTTTGTTTGTAGAACATGTGTGGGATGTTGTGTGTTGAAATGGCCTGGAGGTAAAGGAATAGGCAGTGGTCTATAAACTATGTTGATCATTGTCAGCACAAGCAGTATCAGCTTTTTTCTGCAGTGTAAAGTTAATGTGACAGATATAACACGTCTGCTGCATTCAGAGCCTACTGATGGTTTGTAAATTGAAAATTATAAGCATGGTCATTCATTATGACATTGACAGTTTCAAATAGTGCAACAACAAGTGACCACAGCCCATGTCAGTCAAAACTGTATATTTACTATAATGGTGGTGCATCTTGTCCTATATATGTTTGTGTCTTTATTAAAGCATAAGATCACCACTCGTAACATGTTACATGTTACACCCATTTTCAGGGTGTAACATGTTATAAATAGACCAGCCTCCCCCCCCATCTCCATTGTGACAGCTTGCAGGGGGATCTTCTCCCTCCCGTTAGCTGTCACAATTTTAAACAAACGTAACCATCGGGGCTCCGTCTGGCTGCGTCACTCATTCACAGTCTTCTATGAATGAGAACACTACAAGTTCCAACAGCTTTTGCGGCTGTCAGCTTGTAGTTCTCAAAGAACTACCACGGCACTGTGGAGCGCTGTGGTAATTTATTTGGTCTTCCTGTCAGTAAGTATCTGCTTGCCCCTATGAGGTGTACGGGCACACAAATACATTGACAGGTCTGCAGGAGACCTGCATTGCACCAGCAATCTCCTGATTGTTGGTGCAATGCTTTACAGGCTCCAGCAACATAAAATAATAAATGCACATTTTTAGACTTGAAAAAAAAAATGTGCATTTATTATTTTTTATTAAAAGGTGAACTTATCCTTTAATGCTTGGAGTGTGTTTAAATAATTATACCTGCAGCTACAAAGTCTGTTTGGGAGTACCACATTTGAAATGTGACCGTTTGCATGGTACTTCAAATCATTGCATGTATTAATTGTATTCACAGGTCCTTAGATGTGGTGACTGCATTTGTTTTGTTTTTAAGTCTTTTTTCATTATATTTCCACTTCTTAATCCTGCCAGTAACAGTCAAGACCCCCCTTTAAATTATGCACAATCTCGAGGCACCCAGCTCTAAAATGTACCAAAGCTAAACTAATAGTAGTATATAATGCATCAACATCCATACACATAGGACAGCCAGTGTTAGAGATGATTTATTATTCCACCACAAATACACCTTTGCACACTAGTACTGGCTAGTATTCCAGCATTCCTCTTCTCTCTGTTTCTCTCCCTCACTCAGCTAATGCGACCCCAGTGCTGATGAAGGGGGGCAGGGAAGGAGCAAATAATGACATTGGTTGTTGTGATGTTGGCGTCTAGGAGGTTGCAATAATGCCCACTGGCTTGTATAGATTTTTGGGCAATTTTAGGCATTTTGCCTTGAAGAAACCTGAAGGCACCCTAGTTGAAAAAGGCTGCTCTAGCACACAAAATATGTTAGGCTCACCATACACATTACAATCTGACTGTACAATTTTTGTACACTTCTCTTTAGATCTACCAAAACTATGTAATGTGAGGACCTGCATTGTCTGTCCGATCAATTTATATCCAATCAGATAGGTTCATGTACTACATACTTGTTGGTAGATCTAAAGGAGATTGTACAAACAAATAGAAACCTGTATGATGAGATTTAGGACTACAGAACACCTCCCCACCTCATCTTACACACAGCGTATTAGGGGAGGTGTTCTGTACTCCACAGAGAGAACTGGGAACAGTGGTAACTGATAAAAGTCATTAACGTTTGTATAGAAAGTCATCAGCTCATGAGATTTCTGGCATAATAAACAGGTACTTTTTGCACTGCTCAAACATATGTAACAAAACACTTGCAACATTGTATTTAACATTTTTACATCCACTTTAACAATTGTGAAACATTCTCTACTTTCCAACAGCTGCCCTTGCTGAAATCTCGGAGATGGTAGCACAGCTCCATGGAGCAATGATAAAGATGGAAAATTATCAGAAATTGCAGGAGCTCAGGAAAGATCTGACAGGCATTGACAATCTGGTGATACCTGGCAGGGTAAGCGCATGATGAATCTTGAATTGTGTTCATTTATTGCATTAGCCCGGTGATAAAACTGGTAAGATGACAGAAAACAGAATTGTGACAAGAGTCCCTATCTCAAGAGTACTCAAAATAAAATACTTATTAAATACAATTAGGTTTTGCCTTCCCTCAAAGATACCCTTTTGCTAGACCATTAAAAAAAAAAACTTCCTATAAGATATATGTGTATTTACCGTATTTTGTGCATGGTAGTTACCTTTAAAAACCTCCCTTGTGTAGAGATTCAAAAGCCCTGAGACTTCTGTTAGGCACTGCTGTCTTGGATTTGATGACATCAAACTGATCTCAAAGTTGTCACTCAGGTAACTCTTTATTGCAGGGGTAGGCAATCTTGCCACTCCAGCTGTAGTGAAACTTCTAATCCCATTTTGACTTTGTTTCTTGGAGTTTTGCAGTACCTTGTGAGACTTGTAGTTCCACCACAGCTGGAATGCCAAAGGCTGCCTATGTCTGCTTTATAGAATTCCCTGTAGGCTCCCTGCTACCACTCCCTTCCAAGCTCCTTGAGCGCTTAGCCTACAATCGCCTAAGCGCCCACCTCACTGATAACAACCTCCTTGATCCACTACAGTCTGGCTTCCATCCCCTACACTCCACCGAAACCGCCCTACTTAAAATCACTAACGACCTGCTAACTGCCAAAGCTAATGGCCACTACTCCGTCCTCCTGCTCCTCGACCTCTCCGCAGCCTTCGACACAATCGACCACCCCCTCCTCCTTACCAAACTGCACTCCTTTGGCATCAGGGACGCTGCTCTCTCCTGGTTCTCCTCCTACCTATCCCAACGCTCCTTCAGCATCACCTATAACGCTGCCACCTCCTCTCTCCCCCTCTCTGTTGGAGTCCCCCAAGGCTCTGTCCTTGGACCCCTCCTCTTCTCCATCTACACCTCCTCCCTTGGCAAACTGATACATTCCCACGGCTTCAACTATCACCTCTATGCCGACGACACACAAATTTACCTTTCCACCCCTCACCTCACCCTCTCACTCTCCGCCAGCATTGCCCACCTCCTGAACGACATATCAGACTGGATGTCGCTCCATTTCCTCAAGTTAAACCTGTCCAAAACCGAGCTCCTGGTCTTCCCCCAAGCCTGTGCCCCCCCCCCCCCCATCCTCTCCATCACGACTAGCAGTGCCACCATCAATCCCACCCCACACGCCAAAGTCCTGGGTGTCACCCTGGACTCAAACCTTTCCTTCCAACCTCATGTCCAATCACTATCAAAGTCATGCAGGCTCCACCTCTGCAACATCTCCAAGATACGTACATTCCTCACCCCAGACACTTCTAAACAACTCGTACACTCCCTCATCATCTCACGCCTGGACTACTGCAACTCCCTTCTCACTGGCCTACCCAAACAAATGCTATCCCCACTCCAGTCTATCCTGAACTCAGCGGCTAGACTCATCCACCTCACCAACCGCTCCACATCTGCCACCCCCCTCTGCCAATCCCTTCACTGGCTCCCGATTGCCCAGCGCATCAAATTCAAATTACTAACTCTGACCTACAAAGCCATTCACAATGCTGCCCCAAACTACATAACTGACCTGATACCCAAATACCACCCTACCCGAGCCCTTCGCTCCTCACAGGACCTCCTACTCTCTAGCTCCCTGGTCTCCTCCTCCCACGCCCGACTGCAGGACTTCTCCAGGACTTCCCCCATCCTCTGGAACTCCCTACCCCAATCCATCAGACTGTCACCTCCCCTCCTCACCTTCAGGCACACCCTGAAAACCCATCTCTTCAGGGAAGCCTACCCCACCCTCACCTAACAACCGATCTTCTCCACTCCTCCCACCACTCCATCCCCCACAGCCACTTCCTCCTGTACCACTATCCCCTCCCTCCTAGATTGTAAGCTCGAAAGAGCAGGGCCCTCGAACCCCTCGTGTATTGTATTGTTACTGTATTGTCTCATGTTCTGTCCCCCTCGCTATTGTACAGCACTGAGGAAACCCTTTGGCGCTATATAAATACTGTATAATAATAATAATTCCCCATTTTCTTGTTCCCCAGCATCTACATAAAAGCTTGTGTAGGGAGGGCAGAGTCGCTGGACCAGCACAGAACTAATTAAGTTCATAGGCACATTGCAAGTAAATACAAATCCATAGTGTGCCGAATCTACCTACCAGCCAGGGCTCCCTTTCTGTTTAAACAACATAGTCCACAATCAAATTTAAAAGAAGTTTCTTAAAGTCATCTGCAGCCAGGGATGGCTGAAGCCCGAGCTTTTGTAGTAAAGTAGCAGCTATTGGGATTATCACCTGCTAGTGGAATGAGAGGAAGTGACATGTTCTTTTGGGCTGCTCATGTGCAGTGTGTACTTTCACCTGTTGTAGTCACTGGGCTTGTTGTAGGCAACAGGATAAGAGTATACACTGTGCATGTGTGTCACAAAATAACATGATGTCTTTCCCTCCCATGGCGCTAGGGGGCACTTATCTCAAAAGCTACTCCGTCCATGTAATAACTCGGGACAGAGCCATCAATAGCGCAGAGGATTTGAGGAAGCTTCTAAATGCAGTTGTGACCTTGGTTTCTTAAATAGAAATGGAACCCTGGCTGGATGATAGTTTTAGCTTATTTTGCTGCTATAAACAAATGGGACAGCATAATGTGCATTTTTTGCACTGCTGCACTTATTTAAATTTTACAACATCTGAACTGGACTTCAGATAAGTGCAGTAATATTTGATATTTCTCTGTATTTCCTTAATGTCCAATTCAAAAACTTTTATTTTCCTCAGGAGATTTATTAGACTTGGGAGTTTAAGCAAGTTATCTGGAAAAGGCTTACAGCAAAGGATGTTTTTTCTGGTAAGTTGATCTTGTCTGTGAAAATAATATAAGCAGATAAATAACTGTCTAAAGGAAATCTGTCAGAAGTGAGATGTGGAGGCTGCCAGTTCTGATCCTATGAAAATGTTAGCTCCTTTTCTGTCTCAGGGACAAACTTACAAAGTAAGACCAATCATAAACCGTTCGATTTCTCTCATTACACTCCTCCAACTCCAGCTCAACAGCATGGATTGAAGAATCTACACTGCCGGATATTATATTCATACAGCCACTGCACTTGCAGCTGTCTGAATATCCAAACAGTGACTGACTCTGACAGGATTTGTTTAATCTGTAGGTTGTCCTTTTCACAGAGCATTGATGTGTTGTGATGATGTAGAGCAATGGTATTTCAGTTTGAGACCAGAGTCTGGTAAATTCTTCCGAAATCTTCCCTGACCCAACAGTTAAAAGAAAAAGAAAGTATAGGAATGGGAATACAAAATATGTATGGAAAGGTTGGAATGCTCTATATGTGGCTGGGTGTCACTGAGGGGGGTTGGGGGAGTGGTGGGAAATAAGGCTTCTGGAGGAGATTAGGAGACTTTACAGCAGACTTGGTGACCCAGTCGGGGATGATTTCTGGAGAGGGTTGGGGTCTCTGCAGGAGGCTTGGGGCTTTTGCAGGGAGACTGGGGGGCACTACTGGGAATAGGAGGCACTCTGAGATACTTTTGGAGGTTGAGGAGGCCAGGGGGGATAGTGTGAGGGTGGAGAGCTCTCAGGGAGCCTGTGAACACTGTGGGGGGTTAAGAGGATGGGGGCACTATGCTAGCTGGGAGGCACTGTGGAAGATTAGGGGATCTGAAGCTGGCTGGAACCCAGGGGGAGGGAGGCTGAGGACTGGTAGTGGACCATAGCCCTGTGTTTGAGAACCACTAGGGTAGAGCACACAGAACAGAATCCAAAATGTTTTTTTCTTTTGCAGTTTAATGATGTGTTGCTGTACACCAGCAGAGGGCTGACCTCTTCTAATCAGTTTAAGGTCCATGGGCAGCTGCCATTGTTTAACATGACGGTAAGTAAATTTTTAAGTGTATTTCCACTTTTGCTGTCAAATTTGAAACAAATACACTTTATGCTTGTGTCCCATGCACTTAGCATTCTGAAAATTAAAAACATATACACAGCTCAAAAAAATTAAGGGAACACTTTTTAATCTTAAGTATAGCATCAAGTCAATTAAACTCCTGGGGTATTGATCTGGTCAGTTAAGTAGAAGAGGGGGTTGTTAATCAGTTTAAGTTGCTTTGGTGTTAATCACTTGCCCTCCTGAGGATTTACCTCCCTTCCTGACTAGGCCATTTTTTGCATTACGGCGCTGTGTTACTTTAACTGACTGTGTGGTCATGCTGGAGTGTTTTACATAGGGGGACGTGTGCACAGCCATCCAAGTAAAAAAAACATGTAAACAATAATATGCAGCGCTGATAGTCAATAAAAGATGACTGTTAGGTAATGCAGGAAATAATGGTATCAATCAGTCAGTGACAAATAAAGTGAGTGGTGAAAACACATCAAATTCCAGTCCTGTGATGGTGTTCCCCGTGCATATGATACAAATGCGCACTAACCAGAAGCGTATTTGAAATACGCGATGTATATAAATCTCATGAAGATCCCTCTTCTCTGGTCAAGGACTGGACTGGAAAATGGTGAAGTACTGCCCTCATAAGATGGAACTGGATCCGATGTGCCAGAGGTCCCCTTTAAGGGATGAGCGGCTAAAAGGTTCCTGGATTACAGGTAATCCCCCTCTCTGGGTCTGGTGGATGGATCGTAGCAGTGCTCTAGAAATATTAAAGCTCCTCAAGGGAGACCAAGGAAAGTATCCATAGTGTAGTAATTAAGGTACTCGTTTATTAGGTAGTCAAAACAAATATTAAATGGGTAAAATCAGCATGTGAAGTGCAGCAGCATAGATAGGTGCAAGTGACTGACCCTCCAGCATCCAAGATGGCCATCGGGCCTCCACGTGGCACCGGCGGCGTGACGTCACGACGTCCTAGGCTTCAGCTGACGCATTTCGTGCACACGCACTTCTTTAGAGGTAGAGACAAAGGTACGCCATGATCGTGTAGTTGTCCTTATATACACAAAACGGCGCATGCACACTTTGTCGATGTCATTTTGCCAAAGTCCGGAGCGGCATGAATAGGTCAGTACGCTTGCGCGACGCCATTTTACCATGGGCACAGACGAAATACAATACATTATCACAATTACGTGATAAAGAAATAATAATAGTGGTAATTACCAATTAGGGTCTGCTGGGTGAGTAATCATTAAAGGAAACACAGAGTAAAAGGAGTAGGTTATATATTATTGTAAAGGGAGCAAACTAATATATGAAAAAGCCACTAATAAATGTAAAAAAATAGTTGTCAGGGAAAAAACTAAATTATTCATTTAAAGCAGCTATTAAAAAAAAACTTTTACACAAAAGTTTATACAATTGTCAGATAACGATGAAAAACTGACAAAGAATAAACATTAAATTAAAGCACCCCTGAAAAAATAATGAATATAAAAATATATAAAAATTATTAAAGATAAATTAATGGATGAACGTAAATAATAACTAAACCACATGGTAAAAGGCAAGCCGCTAAGATACAAATAAAACTATATAAATAAAATACAATACAAATCCCTAAGTAATGACAAAAACATAGCATCAATATAAATATCGAATGTAAAACCGACAGTAATAAGACTATAGCCATAATGGTACGAATATTCATGAAATTACTTCCAAAAGCAAATCTGATCAAAAAATAATAAAAACATATTAAAAACACATAAAGGAAGCATAAGATAATAGAACTCAACTATTGTCAATAAAACAATTGACGTCAATTTAGACGTTCAGTCCCGCTGGATATAGAGTGTCCAATTCATATATAAGGCTGGTTTCTAATTGAGAGACAGCCCTGGTTTTGAAAGTCTCTCTCCAATGGGGAATAATAGTGTCTACGCCAATAAATTTTAAACTCGTGGGGTCCCTTTTGTGATGTCGCCTGTAGTGTAAGGATAATGAATGATCCTTATACCCTCTCTTAATATTATTAATATCTTTGCGGAGACGGTCCCTAAGTCTCCTAGTTGTTCTCCCCACGTATTGTTTAGAACAGGGACACTCAAGAAGATATGCAACATATCTGCTATTACAGCAAATAAACTTATCAATCTGGTAGGATCTATTAGTTTGATTAGATGCAAAGGTATCAATTTTCTTTTTCCTGATACCATTGCATTTACAGGCAATACATCTAATGCATAAAAAAAAACAGTATAACTGAATAATGTAGGGGGCTGGGTAGGCAATGAAACAACATTAGGAGCTATCTTATCTCTTAAAGTGGCAGACCTCCGAAAAATAACCTCAGGCCTAACAGGGAGCACTTTGGCCAAAGTAGAATCAGCCTTTAAAATACCCCAATTTTTATTAATAATGTGTCCGATTGACCTATGTTGGACTGAGTAAGTGGTGATGAAGGGAAAACCAAATCTTTAGGGGGTTTGGCCTGAGTGCTGAGTAAATCTTCTCTATTCAGATGTGCTCTATAGTCTCGGTTAGAACCTCATTATTGTACCCTTTTTCAAGAAATCTTTCTTTTAGTATAGCAGCTTGCGAATAGTAGGTATTAACCTCTGTGCAGTTCCTCCTGAGTCTAAGGAACTGCCCCTTGGGGATGTTGGCAAGCCAGCTAGGATGATGACAACTCCCCAAGGGGATGTAGCTGTTACGATCTGTGGATTTAAAAAAGGATGTGGTGGTAATGTGCCCATTTGAATTCAATAAAGTGAGGTCAAGGAAGGTAATCTCAGTAGTACTGTAATGAAAAGATAATTTAATATTAATTTTATTATTATTAAGAGTGTTAAAATTTAAGAGAGACTTTCCAAAGCACATCATCTATGTAGCGTTTATAAAAAAAATAGCTCAGGCCATTCCATGGCGTAAATATTGTCCTCCTCCCAGTAGGACATAAAAAGGTTCGCTAAACTGGGGGCAAATTTTGCCCCCATAGCAACACCTCTGATCTGTAGGAAGTAATTATTATCGAACCACATATAGTTTTTCTGCATTGCAAAATTCAGCAAATCCAATATAAAGTCAATATGTGTCAAAGTACTCTCATGCGTTAGATAATATTTAGCTGCTTTCATTCCTTCTGTGTGGTCTATATTGCTATAGAGTGCTTCCACATCTGCTGTTACCAAATAGGTAGATGCAGAGGTGGCAATATCTTTAACAGCATTAAGAACCTGTTTAGTATCTTTTAAGTATGAAGGCGTTAGTGTCACTAATGGCTGAAGGTAATGATCAATGTAGGCGCCTATTCTTGAACACTAGAGCCCTGCTACGATCCATCCACCAGACCCAGAGAGGGGGATTACCTGTAATCCAGGAACCTTTTACCCGCTCATCCCTTAAAGGGGACCTCTAGCACATCGGACCTAGTTCCATCTTATGAGTGCAGTGCTTCACCATTCTCCAGTCCAGTCCTTGACCAGAGAAGAGGGATCTTCATGAGATTTATATACATCGCGTATTTCAAATACGCTTCTGGTTAGTGCGCATTTGGCCTGGTATCATATGCACGGGGAGCACCATCACAGGACTGGAATTTGATGTGTTTTCACCACCCACTTTATTTGTCACTGACTGATTGATACTCACCATTATTTACTGCATTACCTATCAGTCATCTTTTATTGACTATCAGCACTGCATATTATTGTTTACATTATTCGCACAAGGCTTTATCTGGTTTCCTTGAATGTTCAGCGGCTTTTATGTATAGAGCGCTCACTTATATTGTTATCTTACTAAGTAAACAAAACAGTTCTTCTCCCCGTTGGAGATCGTCAGAAATCTCCAGGCACCGGTGAGTAAACACCGTCCGGGATCCGGTGATTGACAGACTCGGCCGCAAACAGAGATGCAAAATCACATATATATATACACGTGATTTCTCCTATAGGGCGGATGGAAGTGGTTAATGAAATTACCAACAGGTGCACTAGATTGGCAACAATGAAACAACCCCAAAACAGGAATGGTTTTACAGGTGGAGGCCACTGAAATTTTTTTCCCTGCTCATTTTTTCTGTTTTTCACTAGTTTTTGCATTTGGCTAAGGTCAGTGTCACTAATGGTAGAATGAGGCAAATACCTGGACGCTACAGAGGTCAGTCCAACTCCTCCTGGATGGCATATCAATACATGCCATTGCCAGCAGGTTTGCTGTGTCTCCCAGCACAGTCTCAAGAGCATGGAGGAGATTCCAGGAGATGGGCAGTTATTCTAGAAGAGCTGGACAGGGCTGTAGAAGGTCCTTAACCCATCAGCAGGACTGGTATCTGCTCCTTTGTGCAAGGAGGAACAGGATAAGCACTGCCAGAGCCCTGCAAAATGACCTCCAGCAGGCCACTGGTGTGAATGTCTCTGACCAAATAATCAGAAGCAGACTTCATGAGGGTGGCCTGAGAGCCCGATATCCTCTGGTAGGCTCTGTGCTCACTGCCCAGCACCATAGAGTTCGATTGGCATTTACCACTGAACACCAGAATTATCAGGTCCGCCACTGGTGCCCTGTGCTTTTTACAGATGAGAGCAGGTTTATCCTGAGCACATGTGACAGACATGAAAGGGCTAGGAGAAGCCGTGGAGAACATTATGCTGCCCTTAACATCGAGGGCAGTGATGGTCTGGGGAGGCATATCCATGGAGGGATCTCTACAGGCTAAGCAATGGCACCCTGACTGACATTAGGTATCTGGAGGAAATCCTTGGACCCATTGTCAGACCCTACGCTGGTGCCCGGCCTCATGTGGTGAGTGTATGCAGGCAGTTCCTGGAGGATGAAAGAATTGATACCACTGAATTGCCCCCATGCTTGCCTGACCTAAATCCAATAGAACACCTCTGGAACATCATGTTTCGGTCCACCCGACGCTGCCAGGTTGCACCTCAGACTGTCTAGGAGCTCAGTGATGCCCTGGTTCAGATCTGGGAGGAAATACTCCAGGACACCATCTGTTGTCTCATTAGGAGCATGCCCAACGTTGTCAGGCATGCATACAAGCACATGCCGGCCATACAAACTAATGAGTACCATTTTTGGTTGCTGCAATAAAATTTCAGCAAAATGGGCTATCCTGCTGCATCATTTTTTTCACTTTGATTTTTAGGGTGTTTTTGAATTCAGTCCTTTGTTGGTTGATAATTTTCATTTCCATCAAACGATGGGGCATCCTTACGTTCCTAACACATTACCCAGTCCATATCAGTATAGATGTCCAGCATGATATTTTTCCCCATTGAGATCTGATGTGTTTTCAAAGTGTTCCTTTAATTTTTTTGAGTAGTATATATCTTTCTTACCTTTTACATGTTTCTTAGGAGAAGGCCTCTGACTGAAAGGTCTTTGGACAATGTCAGAGTGAGTATATTCCTAGGACAGGTTGAGTCTCCTCTCAAATACAATGCAGGAAACACAGCTACTAAACCTTTAACCCTTTGTTAGGAGAAGAAGTGTTTAAATGTAGTTTACAACTGATAATTTAGATCTGCTTGCACAGTACTGACAGGTCAAACACAGCCCCCTAGCTCACCCCCTTATAAACAAAAAGAACTAGTAGGATTTTACAGTGCTGGAGATTCTATGCTAAGGTATGCTATGTAAGAACATGTAACAAAAATAAAGCAGCTGTTTTGAAGCTTGACTTCTTTTATGTTCCGAATACGGTCTGTTAATGCTTTTTTATCCTAGTGTTCAGTCATGAGGCATTATGGTTGATTAAAGGCAAATTGGTTGTTCACATTGCAAGGGAATTATCACTTACAAGGAATTTTTAGCTTGGTAAATGTGGTGAAAATTCACTTTGCAAAGAATTGCAAGAAAAAAAAAACAGTATTTTTGCTTGCACGTGATTGGATGATGGAAGTCAGTAGAGCTTCATCTCAATCCTCAAGCTAAGGGGAAATTCTCTAGCAAAGTAAACAACCTTTTTCTATAAGTAAATCAATCCCATAGCATTAGCAGTTACTAGTGCACAATAGTTTTATCTGAAGTCATCATTTGCTTGGCTTAGTTTTTATTGAGAAACCTGCCAAAATTTTGGTTGCTTTATGTGCACGGCTAACCGTTTAATGCCGGAATGCATCCTTCCAGTATGTTGAATATTTAATTTTCCGTTTCTGTGTGTGTGCAACACAAAAAACTGCATAAGTTCTTCAATGTGTAATACCTGTATGTGGAAGTGCAGCACTGTCTAATACTGTCTGTGAGTATAGCTCCTTATAATGTTTTATGTTTCTATAATTTCAGGTAGAAGAAAGTGATGAGGAGTGGGGAGTATCTCACTGTCTGACCCTAAGAAGTCAGAATCAAGCTATAGTTGTTGCAGGAAGGTATACAATTTGTTTGAATAGAATTAAACGTATGGTAATAATGATAATAGTTTACTCTCACTCAAAAAAAAAAAAAACTTGAAATAATTAAGTAGCGTGACAAAATCAAATTTTTTACTTTGACCTTAAAGATCTGTTTGTCAAATTTTAGGCATGTATTCTGCAGCAATATTTAATGAACTAAATAATTTGATAACTAATTACCACCTTTAGACATTATCTCAAGCACAATGTAGGCCATATCTGTGTACATACTCTGTGGCTGTGTTCAGGAGAGTGGCAGCTGAACAAAACCCCAGTGATGTTTGTTTACATATTCACAGGCTGTGTTGAGGACCAGCTTATCTGCCTCATTGTTGCCATTTGTCAATAATACAGTGATCAAGAGAAAGGAAATGGTTGGCAGCTGGAAAAAGAAGAATCTTACACACCTGGAAGTGTCTGATTATTCTCCAGTGTGTAACCCCCCAAAACCCCATAGATAACAGCACTGCCTAAACATTACATACCAAATATAAGCTGCTAGCAGACTCTGATATATTTTTCACAGCAAATCAGTATATACCGTTTGTTCTGTTCTATGTAAAAACAAACAATAAAAGTGTTTAAAATATAAATCAAACTAAAAAGAATGTCCAGTAAAGTCTTTATACAGAAAAGGTGCTCCAGTGTATAAGTCCAGTCTTCATCTAACCACCATTACATACTGCCATCACCAAGAGAGAAACTCAGATATGCTTATCAGATGGTGCTACCACCATCAGGCTCCTTCCTTAGTTGTTAATAAATGTGTGCAGGTATGTGCTAATAAAAAAACAACCAAAGGCGGTGTTTACTCCCAGGGTAATCATGATGTTGTCACAACAAGCTCCTCCATATGCACTTCATCACAGATGGTGTCTTCTGGGTCATCTGTGAAATAGCGAGTAGGGAGAAGCCTGTTGCAACATCATCATGTTTACCAGAAGTGGCCTGGAAGTGCAGTGTTCATGATTACCCTGGGAGTTTATACAGCAATGTGTATATTTGCTTGTCTGTAAGTGCAATTTTTGTTTTAATAAATATTAATATAGTTTTCACACTGTGGAGCCTTTGGCTGTCTTTTTATTGGCACATACCTGCACACATGTATTAACGGCCAAGCAAGGAGCCAGGTGGTGGTACCCCCTTGAAGGAGGATGACTTATGTGGATGGAGACACCTGGATGGCTGACGTGCATGTACTTATAAAGTGTTAAAAGACTCTTATAGCCAGAGAGTCATATTCATCCGGTAAGCATATCTGAGTTTCCCTCTTGTTGGTGGCAGCACACAGTGGTGTTTAGATGAAGATTGGATTTAGGATTTACATACCTTTTCTATATGAAGACTTTATTGGACATTTTTTTGGGTTTGATTTTTTTTTAGCACTTTTATTGTTTGTCTTTATATAGTATTGAACATAAATGGTATGTAAATGTAAACTGCAATATCCTATTTGTACAAAAGAAAAGTACACAGGTAAACGTCCATGTTAAAGCAACATTCCAAAACAAGGAGTTCTTACCTTTTTTTAATTATTCCTTGTATGGGAATATCACTTTAACATGGACACTTACCTATGGACCTTTCTTTTGCACAAATATGGTGTTGCAGTTTACGTTTATATAATGTTGTTTTAGGTAGTTCTGTTACCCAATGGGTTTTGGGGGTTACACACTGGATTAGCATAGGTGTGTTTCAGTATAACAGCAGCAACCTGGTTTATTCACAATATTTATTGTATTATAATTTGAATTACATTGGTTTATCCATGGGTCAAACCTCATCCATAGCACAGGTATCCTTTTTGATGTTTTTTATTTGTTCCTCTGCCTAGAATTTTGAAGTTAAGTAATAAAATAATTACCTAGAAAAGTTTAATACTTGTTATACATAAAGAAGTATTATATTTAAATATATGAAATATAGTATTTGTTCTGCTGGCATTTCTTTGCTAAACAATGTCACAGCATAACCCTACTTGTATTCACTTTGTTAAATGCAATATTAATGGCATTACTGTCTGTATATGTTTTGTTTTCAAGTATCACATGGGCATTATTACAATACGCTATGCCATCAGTGCAAAATGTCTTCATTGTACAGTACAGGACACAGGCTGGACATTCATAGACCCTGGCTTTATAGGCTGCTACCCTGAGGTGAAAGGACACTGGTAAAGCTTTTGGAAGTCCCCTCTCAGGCATACCCTATAACCCCACCCCACTCTGTGAGACCATTTTTCTGCTTTATAGTTGTACGAAGAACTAAGTTTAAAGGAAATGCGTACTTCAAGAACTATTATGCAGAATAATAGCATTTTGTGACTATGCAAGTTGCTTGGCTGTTTCTGATTTTACTGGCTGCATGTTTAACATCAGAACTCCTGATACTTGCTCCAGGTCTAGCTTAAAAAGTGTCAAAGCCATATTGCCTGCATTCACAGCCAGGCAGCTAGTATTTTCTGGAGTAGAGGTCCGCAATAGCAGGATTGCTAATACCTACAATAGAGACTTTAGTTAAAGTGCTTCTAAAGCCTGGATATTTTTACGTTAATGCTTTCCCTGCAATAAGGTAAAAAATGTCCCAATGTATCACCCTCTCACACCCCCTTTAAATATATCTGAGTCCCAGCACCATTCAGCACTGTACCTGTCTGCAACAGCTCTCTCTGCTCATTGAGACAGCAGCAGAGCCATTTGCTGCAGCTGTCAATCGAATCCTATGAGCAGAGAACTCGGGGATGTTGGGGGGCGGGGCAGCTGAGCCGCGCTCTGTGTGTCAATAGAGGTAAGCAGTTGGCTCAGGTTCGAGCCTGCAAGTGTTCCACCATAGGAAGCTGCTTGCTATGGTAGCACACCAAAAAAAGGTGTAGCAAAGAGTATCGGGGGGGGGGGGGGGGGAGGTCCAGGGCCAAAGTTAAGTATCACATGTTTGTTATTTAATTTAAAAAAATTACCTTTACAAACATTTTAATTCTATTCTATTCACAACATTTTTGGGTGTTATTTTCTAGTTCTCGTTCTGAAATGGAAAAAAATGGAGTGAAGATATTCAGATGGCTATTGATCTAGCAGAAAAGAGTAGTGGTCCTGTCCCTGAGCTGTTAGCCAGCAGTCCTCCCGATGGCAGTAAGTAAACAGATCAGTAATGGAATAATAATCATGAACATCCTCTGTGTCATTTGTGAATTATAATTGTAAAAATATATTTGTGTTGCCCTATTTTAGTTACATAAAGAATGTTTGTATCACCTCATTTATGTTACATAGCTTGAGAAGCGCTATAGACAATGTTCATATTTCTGACAGTATTCATGTCATCTACACTCACATGGAAAGGTATCATGATCCATTCACAAGTTAACATGTGCAAGTTCTCCTATCTCAACATTATATTTACATTTGCACAAACGTTAATCCTTTGTTCTCTTGTCTGGAATATCAGGTTCAGGGTGACAAATAACAATCTCATACAGCAGAGATATACTAATGACTCATAAACTACTTTTAAAATGTTTTTTTTTTTTTATTCCTACTTAGAAATAAACGATTTGTAAAAAATTGAAACTTTATTCTTTCACGTTTGAAAACATTTTTTTTGTAGATTTCTGGCGTAAGTTCATTTATTAAAACTATAATTTCAGCAAGTACTGAGTTGTTTAGGACCCAGTTTGTTCAAGAACACACCTAAATAATTCTGATTTCGGCATAGTGAGCCATGATCTGTCTGCTTCTCATGCTTTTCTTTTCCTCTGCTACTAATACTTGAATCTTTTTCCCTCTATGTTGAAATAGTAGAGCAGTATTTTGCATAAAGGTGAAAACTCCTTCATCTGAAACTACCAAAGTACCAAAGCATTTCTAGTTTTCCTGATAAATGTTTGTTTTCTTCAGGTCTATATTGTTTGCCATTAATCAACACAGAGTGCAAAACAATTTATATGTTTACTGTTCTTCGGTGTGTAAGCCTGACGATAGATAGGCAAATGTCTTCCCATGAATAACGGGCCAGAAGACCTCTGGCCATCCTTGATCATGCCAAGACTCACCACTTATTATTGTCTAACTTGCCTGACCAGAATAAGCAGAGCACACTCAGTCATTACTTCCTCTCTTCTCTCATTGCGAAGGGGAAGGGACTAGCCAGGTCACTTTTAAGGGGGCTATAGATTGAGTGATTGATGGAAATCACATTATTCCTCCCATGGAGCTATTGTGTTCTTCTGCTAGTGGGGCAGATGGAGCCTTTCCCATTGGGAGAACACAGTGATTACTGCTAGCAGCTAGTGGGTACATTCAACCTTCCCATACATTGTTTGAATCTCGGCCAATCCCTGCTGAACCAGCCAAGATTTGAGCCATTCATGGCCGGCTTTATAAGCTTCAAAGCACATTCCTTGCCCATGCCTTAAAATAGGCTGTCAGACTGGACTTTAGGTGCCTTTAAATGCCATTTTGCCTAGGTAGCATCTAATAAATGTTTCTTTGTCATTTAGGCAGAGGTTGAGCATTGTGGATAATAACCGTATGCTATAACCATAAATGTACCAGTTAAGCCAAATTTTTATATTGAAGAAGTCTGCTACAATAATGCTGGCAATACCCTAGTAGAATTTTGTTCTAAAATGTTTGTTTTCAGAATGAGTGTTCAGTTTTCTAATAGTTAGAGGGGTCAAATTGGCATTTGTTGTCAATTTTCCATTCAGAAAATTACATTCATACCAGAATCAAATACTAAAAGCAAACAAAAATTTAAAGCACTTTCTGACAACATTTATTAAGTATCTGTTGGCGTTATTGAATGTACTGATGAGATTTTTAATATGAATGCTTCTACGAAAATCTACCAGTATATGGCCAGCTTACGGCTGTGGTGCAGTGCTTTCATCATTGATGTTCTTGTAATGCTGATGTTGATATTTTACTAGAATCACCAGAGGAAGGTCCTGCTGATCAGGAATCGGAGGACGATTTGAGTGCTTCTCGCACATCACTGGAACGACAATCACCTCACCGTGGAAACACTACCGTTCATGTGTGTTGGCATCGGAACACAAGCGTTTCCATGATTGATTTCAGCTTTGCTGTGGAGGTACAGTGCATTTAAATTCAGCAATCCTAGCTCTCCCCATCCTGTACATAATACTTTATTTGATTTTTTACCCTTGCTATCTGTTGATAAGATTGTAGGATTTTCTGATAGTTTATATAATCCTGTACCCGTACTCATGGCACTCTGCCTATATACAGAACTATTGATGACTTCATGTGAATGTATAGTGATTTTTGCTAATTTTTTTTAATATCTGTTCTTAAAAACAATCTAGATCTCTACACTTAAAAAAGTATGAAAAAATATAGGTCATTGATCTGTACTCAGACCAAAAAATGTTTTTAATATATATATCGCAGGTAAAATAAGTATTGAACACATCACCATTTTTCTCAGTAAATATATTTCTAAAGGTGCCATTAACATTAAATTTTCACCACATGTCGGTAACAACCCATGCAATCCACACATACAAAGAAACCAAAACAAATAAGTTCAGAAATTAAGTTGTGTAATAAAACGGACAGGGAAATGTTACTGAACACTTGAAGAAAGGGAGGTGCAAAAAAGGCATGGAAAGCCAAGACACCAGCTGAAATCTGTCAGTAATTAGAAACCAATCCTGCCCCTTGTCAGTGCAAATTAATATCAGCTGGTTCAGCCTCAACTGATGGCCTATAAAAAGGTGTCTCATTACCAAGGTGTCACACAAAAAACATCTCATGATGGGAAAAAGCAAAGAGCTCTCTCAAGACCTTTGCAACCTTATTGTTGCAAAACATACTGATGGCATTGGTTACAGAAGTATTTCTAAACTTCTGAATATTCCAGTGAGCACTGTTAGGACCATAATCCAGGTGTGGAAAGAGCATCATTTCACCATAAAAGGTCCATGACCAGGGGCTCCTTCGCAAGATTTCTGACAGAAGAGTGAAAAGAATTATCAGAAGGATTGTCCAAGAGCCAAGGACTACTTGTGGAGAGCTTAAAAAAAACCTGGAATTAGTAGGTACATTTGTTTCACAGAAAACAATAAGTAATGCCTCCAACTGCCATGGCCTGTGTGCACGCTCACCACGCAAGACTCCATTGCTGAAGAAAAAGCATGTTGAAGCTCATTTAAAGTTTGCTGCACGACACTTAGACAAGACTGTGAAATACTGGGAGAATATTGTCTGGTCAGATGAGACCAAAATTGGATGCCATAATACATAGCATGTTTGGAGGTCAAATGGCCCTGCACATCACCCCAAAACACCATATCAACAGTGAAGTTTGGAGGTGCAAACATCATGGTGTGGGGCTGTTTTTCAGGATGAATGGAAAAAGGAAGGATGAATGGAAAAATGTACCAAGACATGCTTCAGCAAGAGAATAATCCCACACACACAGCCAACGAAATTCTCAATTGGTTTCATAGAAAGAAAAGAGCTGCTGCTGGAAAGAACTAAAGAGTTCATAGAAGAGTCCCACAGAACCATCAAAATTTGAAGACTGTGTGAAAGAATGGGCCAAAATTACACCTGAGCAATGCATGCAACTAGTTTCTCCATACAGGAGGCGTCTTGAAGCTGTCATTACCAACAAAGGATTTTGTAGGAAGTATTAAATAAACTTCGGTTAGCATATTCAATACTTTTTCCCTGTGTCATTCTATTTTATTACACATAACTTAATTTTTAATATCTAAACTTATTTGTTTTGGTTTCTTTGTATATATGGATTGCATCTGTTACCAACGTGGTGAAAATTTCATGTCAATAGCACCTTTAGAAATATATTTACCGAGAAGAATACTTATGTTACCCGCTGTATATACACACACACACATCCGTTCTTCAAAATGTTTCCACACTTTTTTAACACACATATATGTGTGTGTGTGTGTGTGTGTGTGTGTATGTGTATATATATATATATATATATATATATATATATATATATTTATTTTTATTTTATTTTTTTTTGCCACCATTTTTCTGTTTTATCCTTTATATTCTTTGGTCCTCTCTGATCTGTTGCCCTTGAAATGTTATAAAGTGGTAGATTCCCTACTTTAAAATTTTTAACTTTAGGATTAAAAAAATTATATAAGGAATTCATATTTATATTTACAAGTAATGCTGTATGATTACTTCACACACCTTATGCAGCCAGTATCTCCTCACAAGATGGTGCTATACTTGTTAGGCAGATCATGCTGTTGTCACACTGTAGCCCTATCCTGTAATTTCTTTCTTTTAGTGCTAGTGCGCACAACCTGTACACCAAGTACTACAGAGGGAGAGGAGACCGGACTGCATGTTGCATGTGTTTTTGTCTATACCTAAAAAGCACCAGGGAAAGAAGGGCAGCCCATGCTGCATATAATCATATACATCTGTTTTCTTCTTTTTATTTGAACATATATTTTTTTGTAAAAACATAAATATGTAACAAAGCAGCTCAGACCACCCTTTCCCTTTTGTCATAATGTGTTTGTGTGTATGAAATAAAAGCAACACAACACGCAATCTGTCCCTCACTCTCCAGTGCTTTGTTTTTGAGTTCATAAAAAAGGTATTGAAATGACTGTGAATAATATTGAGATTGACCACCAAGTTTTTCTTTCTGCTTTTCCTCTGTCCCTGGTGCTTTTCAAAGGTAAAAGGGTGTAGTTTTAGGAGTTTTCTAAATAAGAGTGTTTTCCATAGTTTACAGCACTGTGCATTAGTCTGTAACATTTAAATGGATCTTTGTTTTCCCAAAATTAGCTCTAACATGAATATCAAGAAGGGAAGAATGTCTAGTGACCCCTTGTGTGTAAATTCTGAAAACACATGGCAATATTGTAAGGTTTTTTTTAATGTTTTTTTTTTTTTTTTGGTCTTCAGATCTATTTTGATAATCGGTTTCCAGATAATGGATTCCAGTAGATGGCAGCAGTGTTCTCTGAAGAACAGCTGCCAGTTTCTAACTTTTGTGATGTCAATGAGCACATTTCATATTTGTCTTAGAGCTCCTTGACTCTACTGATCGACATCTCTACAACCACCCTGTCAGGTTTTCCTTGCTCGATCAGCTCTGCAGGCTATGGCTGGCAGTGTATTCTAAAGTGTGGAAGTCTCCCTACTTCAGAATACAAAGTCTAATTTAGGATTCCCTATCCACATCGATAACCTCATTAGAAATTAAAAGAGCTTTGTGCTCTTTCAGTAACCATATAGGAAATGTGTGTATCCACTGACTATATATTTGGTTGTTCCTTTTGTTTTCATAGTAATTTTGTTGTATTATTTTTCTTTTTTATTTGTCAGAATCAGCTGTCAGGAAACCTGCTTCGAAAGTTCAAGAACAGCAATGGATGGCAGAAACTCTGGGTGGTATTCACAAATTTCTGCCTATTTTTCTACAAATCACATCAGGTAAGCATAAAGCATACTGGACTCAATGCACTAAACAATATTGCATGCGATATTTAGATCATGTGAATCTTCTGATCCCAATATCGCATGCAATATTCAAAAGATAATTCAGTAGCAGTTTGTACAGTATTTACCGCAAAAATGAAAAAAAAAAGCACAGAAATTAGTGCATAAACTGATGTAAAAGTCAATTCACAAAAAATGCATTTGTTAAAGTCATGGTCTAGCCACAAGCTATTTAACATTTCCCCCATTTCCTAGCCTGCCAGGCTACATGTTCAGACAGGGGTCTTATATGGATTTTAGGGGGGACTTCACACCATTTTTTTTTAATTATTTTTTGACATGGGCTCCCCCTTAATCCATGTCCAGAGTAAAGGGGGATGAATACAAATGCACGCCATGCTTTTAGATATTTTTTGTAAGAAAATGTTGAAAACCATGTATCATTTTCCTTCCACTTCACAATTATGTGCCACTTTGTGTTGGTCTATCACATAAAATCCCAATCAAATACATTTACGTTTTTGGTTGTAACATGACAAAATGTAGAAAATTTCAAGGGGTATGAATACTTTTTCAAGGCACTGTGGCAACTAATGAATGGCAGTCTGTTTTTTTTTTAATGGAAAAATGCAGGATGGGGGTGTAATCTTTATGAATACAGTGCTGTTTGTACAGTAAGTTTTCATGTTGTTAATTATAACATTTCGGTGCAGTCATTTACAGTGCTGGAAAAGTGATGTAGAAACCTACGCCCTACCTTAAAGGCCAAGTTCACTTTTTGAAAAAAATAATAAATGCACATATTTTACAGGAAAAAAAGTGTGCTTATTATCGCGGGTGCAATGTCAGATTCCTGCAGACACTGCCACCAGCTTTCTTACTCATACCTCTACAGAATTTCTGTTTGAAAGCTGGAGGAGAGGTTAATGAATTACAAGAGTGCTTATCAGCACCCTCATAGTTTATTGAGAACTACAAGCCATGTGCTGTGCTGGTAGATGGGATTTGTAGTTCATTCACAGATTCCTGTGAATGAATGACATGGCTGTGCAGGCGGAACGAGGGGTGGTGCATAGTAATATAATACGTTACACCCTAAATACAAGTGTAACATGTTACTAAAGGTGAATTTATCCATTGAGATCCCACCCCCCTCTTGCAATAAACTGTAAAGAAGAACTCCCTTGGATGGTGATTAAAAACTGCAGAATAGTCCTGTGTAATTAGATAATCAAAACTGCTAATGTGATTTTCAATAAAAGGGCACACTGTGTTTAATACTCAGTTTTAAAATGCTGTAACCTCATCTTGCACAGAATCTTCCTCAATCCCCGGGCTCTTGGAGACGGTATCTTCAAAACAGTGGCATCACTCCCCATTAGTGTTTGTTACAGCTTCTTAAGACTACAAATCCCATCATTCCCTGGGATTTGGAGTTTGAATGGGAGATAGTGTGGGCAAGACTTTGGGCATGCTTTCAATGGATCAGACTCTTGGGTTGCCTATGCTGTACAGTGGGCAGATCAGACCGGAAGTCTGAGACTCCTAGATCCATCCACTGCTGTGAGCATTGATGTAATCACATCACCGTTCGCATTACTAAGAGAGACAGTCTATATAGGCAGCACTGTGGGCATGAATGAGACGGGTCAGGCTCCTGGCCTGTCAATCTATGCTGCACACTGGGCGGATCAGATCAGAAGTCTGAGACTCTCTGATCCGCCTACTGCATGACTGATGTAATCGTATCACCGCTTGCTTTACTGAGAACTACAGTGGGGAATGTCCAGGGGGATAGAGTATACCGTGGCCACCAGTCCTATGAACAGGATATGAGGACAACATGGCTGTTTACAGAACAAAGACATCTGGTTTTCTGACTAGGACTGTGCTGTGCACCATAAAATCAAAAGATTATGGACATAGAGCTGGAGCATGGCATTGCACCCGCAAACACTTATCATGGTTGAAATGCATTGCAGGCTCAATTTAAAAAAAGTGCACTTTTTTTTGCACATAAATGTGCATTTATTCTTTTTCTCTTTTTTTTTTGCTTAAAGGTGGACTTAGGTTTTAAATAAACCTAAATCTGAACTCCAGGGTTTTTTTAAACTTGCATTGGGAAAGCTTGGATTTAAGCAGATCTTTGCCCCTGCTTTTGGCAAGTTTCAAGCAACGCCTTTTTTGTGCATGTGCAGATGCACCCATGAGGCTGTGCCCAAACCATCATGCAAAGACAGGGAAAGTTTTAGACTTCCCTGTTAGCAGTCTTCGTGCATGCGTGGGAAACTGGCACATGCGCAGATGTGCTGCAGGATCTCTCAGGAACTGAGCCCTCTGGCACGTGCCGGGGGGGGGGAAAACCACTCGCCTAGGTGAGAATAGCGGAAGTCCCACTGTCATCAAAAGTAAAGTATATTAAAAGAAATCTGTAAGAGGGGGAGGGGGAGGAAGAAAAGCAGCTCAAGTTCTGCTTTAAGGATTTAAACTTCTGACACTATGTTTATGTTTATTCCTGCCAAGTCCATGCTTTCCTGGTGACAACCACACCTGAGTTTATTGAAGAGATTATCTCCCAATTAATGTCAGAGACCGAAATAAAAACCTGACAGAAATGTTAACATTTCTCAGCTCTATCAATAACAAGAGAAATGCAATAAATAAACATACCTCTGTGTATTGATGGAGACAAACTTCCCAGTATTTTATGACTAAACTTTTTCCAATGTACAAGGTGTATCTGCATGTATTATAATGACAAAAATTAACCAGAAAAATAAAGGACAATAAATGCCTCCTTTAAATGTGTCATGTTTCTGTTTTCAGGATAATCATCCATTAGCCAGTCTCCCTTTACTTGGCTATTCACTCACCATTCCCTCTGAATCAGAGAACATTCATAAGGATTATGTCTTTAAACTGCATTTCAAGTCTCATGTGTACTATTTCAGAGCTGAAAATGAATACACCTTTGAAAGGTAAATAATAGACATGTTACTGCATTCCTACTGCAGCTCAGACTAAAGTGAGATATCAGCTGTCATGCCATTGCGTTTCCCCATAAAGCTCACCTGTCATGAAAGAAATTAGGGGCTGACCGCACCAGCACCTTCACGTGAGAGAACGGAGGTGAATCACATGCTCATTGATACCTGGGAGGTATTCTACTTCGCTCCTGGTGGTTGGTGTAGTAGTATTGTAGTGAGTAAAGTCAGGTGTAGCTGGGGAAGGGGCATCTAAATGATCATTTTGGTCTACAATGCATAGGGTTAGGAAAGGTTCTCTTTGTTTTAACACTTGTGTAACACTTAAGAACATAAACTCAATAATCAAATTGATTTCTCCTATAGACAATACATCGGTATGGGGGGGTCAGTTATGAGATTTATAGCTTTGGAAGAAATCATATCAGGGTAGAGCCAAATAGAAAAAAGGATCCCTGGTGTGTAAATATATACCCCAAACAACAAAATATAAAGTTGGGGTTTTTATGTTGTTTGAAGCACCATGGTGTATACTGGAATTCCTCATTGAAGAAAGTGGACCAAGAGGAAAACATTTCCATATAGGAGTGAAAAGCAGGGGCAGTATTTTGCAGAATATGGTGTTCGGAATGCATACAAACAGGTTCTGTTCCTTCTCCGTTCGGCCCAAAATGGAGAAATAATTTTGGTTGGAATTTGGGTTTTAATGAAACGTATCTCGTAACAAGGAAATATAGAAGTCTACAAAGATAATAATGTACTTTCTTCCCATGTCTTGCTTGTTACCTTTAGCGCCACTTCATACAAGTGTAACTTGAGTTGCGCAGAATTGCATGACAAGGGAAATGAATTTATATTCAGTGGTACCTGTTCAAATCAAAGCGACTCAGCACAGTTCCATTTTGGAAAAGCGTCCTGTACTGCTCTGGTGCAACTTTCAGTACAACTTGGCCCATAGAATATGCAAAATCACAGCAAAGTTGCACTACATAATCATCCTGAAAATTGCAGAAATATTGATAGCAATAGTATGAACCGAGTCTTACAGTTGAGAACTTTGATCTTGTAGGACTGGCTGATTTTGATAATATCAGAGTCTTTGAATGTCATTTTTACTAGTTTCTGCTTTAAAGGCTATATGTTAAACAATTCCCCCGCAAACTGATTTGTGTTTTCTGCATCTTGTAGGTGGATGGAAGTGATTCGAAGTGCCACAGACTCCATCAGTCGCTCCCGCCTCTTGAGCCATAAGGAGTCTCATTTGTACTGAAGTCATGACTCTCCTCCACAATCCCAGCTGCCTTTCAGCAGGAATTTGATACCAGCCCTTGGAGTTTTGTAAGGCCAGCTGCTCCACAAAGGACAAGAGACTGCCTCTCAGTGACTTTTTCAGCTTTGTCAGGACAGATACCTTTTTAAACTTTTTTAAGTCCATGAACCCTTTCCTGCTCTGAATTAACCCTTTGCTGACCGCAGGTAGTTGGTCTCATCCTGTACAATACATTTTGACAATTTGTTTGAATAATGTGTGCCAACATTAAAAACCTGTTGTCTCTAGTCTAGTGACAAAAGATTAATCTTGTATTCATATTTCTGGTTTTTAAATGTATCTTTGAATTCAAACACGTGTGTGCATACACATGCAAAGAAAGGTCAATGATTTTTCTTTCTTTTTTTTTTTTTTGTAAGTTATAAAGCTTTCTTCAATGCAATATTCATGCAGTATAGCTGTTGTTTCCATAATGGTTTACATACATTCAAAGCACTTTAATCACCTCAGTTGTGAAAGCCAAGCAGCAGAAACAGTAGTAGAGCGTTCTAGAGAGTAGAGATAGAAGACTTTGCATTAGACCATGTTTCTTGTGCTCTGTCTATAATATTTTTTACACATTGTATTTTCATTTTTGCATCACAACCATTGCTGTATAATGATTGTATAATGAGTAGACTATTTTCTGTCATGGAGAAGCATTGCAGTAAACTTTTTATCCAAAAACACCATCATCCTGGCTTACTGCTCTTTAGTTACATCAAGATTCATGTAAAATTTTACTCTGAAACATTCATGGTTTTTAGTCCGTTTTGGTTTACTTTTTCTTAACTTCGGCGTTTCAACCATTTTTATATCTATTTTTTTTTTCTACCTATATACACCAATCAGCCATAACCATATGTCCACCTAATATTTAGTAGGTCCCCCTTTTGCCACCAAAACAGCCCTGACTCATGGATGCCACTAGACCTCTAAGGGTGGTATCTGGCCACAAGCTGTCAGCAGCAGATTCGTTAAAGTATTAAGAAACAAAAGAAAAAAAAAAACAGATTTTATTTTTTTTTTTCGTTTTGGATAGAGTGCAGAGAGATTAGAATTATTGTTAGTTTTTATTGTCTGTGCCCCGGTTTCGGAGATTTTACCCTATTTGTCCTGTTTATTATTGTTATTGAAAGTGAGAGTGAAAGAAAATCCCAAATTTTGGGTTTTCCCCAGTAAAGTATTAGAGGGTAAATCCTCCAATGGGGTCATTAGTTCTGGTGAACTAAGGGTGAATACCCTTAATTTGAAGGATTTTCTCTCACTGCCTGTTTGACTATTTTACAAGAAGTGAAGGGAAATCTTCACAATGGGACACAGATGGTGAAAAAAAAATCTGACGGGTTATATCCTTCCATTACTCTATCTAAAATGGAAAAAAAAAAGCTTTGCCTTTAGTTCTACTTAAAGACCTGTTAGTCGTTTGCTGGTGCCAGAATGGATCACACCTATTTTTCCAGTACGTTCCACAGATGCTCAATTGGATCCAGATCTGAAAAATCTGGAGGCCAAGTCAACATCTCAGACCACTCTTGAACCATTTTTGCAGTGTGGCAGGGTGCATTATTCTGCTAAAAGAGGCCACTGACATCACGAAGGGATGTACTGGGTCAGCAACAGTGTCTAGGTAGGTGGTACAAGTCAAGTAACATCCACTTGAATTGCAGGACCAAGCTTTCTCAGAAGAACATTGCCAAAAGCATCATACTGCCTCCCCTGGCTTGCCATGTTACGATATTGCAGCTTGGTGTCAGCTCTTCCCCAGGTAAGTGACACACATACACACACGTCCATCTACATGATGTAAAAGAACACGATTCATCAGACCAGGCCACCTTCTTCTATTGCACCGTGGTCCAGTTCTGATGCTCAATCGCCCATTGTTAACACTTTTGGCTGTAGACATGGGTCAGCACTGGCACCCTAACTGGTCTGCTGCTACGCAGCCCCATTTACAGCAAACTACGATGCCCATTTTTTTTTCTTTCAACATATCAATTGCAAGGAAAACCTGTTTACTTGCTGCCTAATATATCCCTCCCACTTTCAGATGCCATTGTAAAGAGATAGTCAATGTTATTCACTTATACCTGTCAGTGGTCATAAAGTTATGGCTGATCATTGTATACAGTCTTTCCAGAACACTATGGGTTAGCTAACGGGACAACACATTATAACCGCTTCTTTTGTCTGGTGGAAACCTCCCTGTCAGTCCTCTGACAAGGAGTGAGCTACTGCTCTAAAGAATTCTTCCAGTTCTATAAACAAGGGACTTCTTTACCCACAGGCAAAAAAAGTTCTCATACTACTGAAGTGAAGTGGAATCCAGTGTTTCCCCTCTGTTTTCAGCTGGTGATCTGGCCAGTAACACACCCCTTGTATTAGTGCCCCCATTCTGGATGAATAAGCACAGGATTGTCTTTAGACAGCAGCATTGTCAGTCTGAGGGGAGGGGAATGTTAGATGTACTCAGATTTAACTACACTAACAAATTGAAACTAAACTCCAGCTCACACTTTATAGGCAGTTAGAGCAAACAGGTTTTTTTTTTCTTTATGGGGAAAATGTTTTACATAAATAAGTTTATCACTGTAAGCATTTGTACTTGTGCTATGTGTGCAACTTTGTTAACTTTGTACTGACATTCACTGTAGATCACAAGGACAGTGTGATTTGAATGCATTGCAGAAAACTGGGATGGAACTAAACAAAAAAGAAAAATAGTTTTTAACCGCTTCCCAACCGCCCCTAAGCAGAAATACTGCTACAGGTGGGCACGGGTGTGCAAAATCACGCCTGGCCCGTGATTACCAAGGATCTCCGACCAAGGGGAGAACTGTTTTGTTTACTAACAGTTCTCCCTGTCAGCTCAGGCACACTGCTTTGGATGGTTGTGCACATCACAGCTATCTAAAGCAGTGTACTTACAGTGAAGCACAGACACCGCCCCATAGTAAAACACACCCAGCATACAGTTTATTTATTTCAGGTACTTATATAGCGCCGTCAATTTTACGCAGCGCTTTACATATATATATTGTAAATTCACATCAGTCCTTAACCCTCAAGGGGTGTACAATCTAAGGTCCCTAACTCATATTCATACATACACATACTAGGGCAATTTAGACAGGCGGAAACCCACACAGGCACAGGGAGAACATGCAAACTCTAGACAGGTGGTGCCGTGGCTGGGATTCGAACCAACAACCCTAGTACTGCTGGGCAGAAGTGCTAACCATTTAGCCACTGTGCTGCCCCAACAGTTAACCCTTTGATTGCCCCTCATGTTAACCCCATCCTGCCCAGTGTCATTAGTGCAGTGTCAGTGCTTTTTTTTTTTTTTTTTTAGCACTTATCACTGTATTGGTGTCACTGGGGATGTCAGTGACGCCAAGTCAGTTCCCCCCCCGTGTCAGAATGTCCGCCACAGTCCTGCTATAAGTCGCTGATTGCTGCCATTACTAGTAAAAATGTAAAAAAAATTTAAAAATCCCAGTATACGTACCGCCATTTGTAGACGCTATAAAACTTTCACATAAACAAATTAATTTACACGTATTGGGTTTTTGTTTTTAGCAAAGGTATGTCGCAGAATACATTTTGGCCTAAATTTATGATGAAATTTTATTTTTTACATTTTTTAACTGGATATGTTTAACCACTTGCCTACTGGGCACTTATACCCCCTTACTGCCCAGGCCAATTTTCAGCTTTCAGCACTGTCGCACTTTGAGTGACAATTGCGCGGTCATGCAACACTGTACCTATATGAAATTTTTAGCATTTTTTTTTTCACAAAAATAGAGCTTTCTTTTGGTGTTAATTGCCACTGGGTATTTTATTTTTGTGCGCTATAAACAAAAAAGAACAAAACATTTGAAAAAGTTTTTCTTTTGTTTCTATTATAAAATTTTGCAAACAGGTAATTTTTCTCTTCACTGATGTGCGTTGATGAGGCTGCACTGATAGGCAGCTCTGATGGCAGGATGGCACTGATAATGCTGCACTGATTGGCAGCACTGATGGGCGGAACTGCTGGGCACAGGTGGGTGGCATTGATGGGTACTTGTGGGTGGCACTGATGGGCACAGGTGGGCAGCACTGGTGGGTGGCACTGATCATCAGTGCCCTGATGATCGGTGCCAATCTGTCCTCTGACAATTGCCAGTTATCGGCAGTACTTTCCTCATGCTGTGACAGCGTGAGGCAAGTGCAGCTGATAATCGGCAACTGCATTTACCGGTGATCTGCTGTGTCATTGGACACAGCTGATCACGTGGTAAAAGGCCCGTGTTTTCCCTTTTACCACATCACGTGATATGCTGTGTCCATAGGACACAGCGATCACGGAGATCGCGGGGGGATCGCATTCTGTGAGGATGTCCTCCTTGAACTGAACATCCGCGCGCTATAGCGCGGTTACCAAGTGGTTAATAGCAAAAACTCAAAAATATTTTTTTTTCTTAGCAAAATTGTCGGTCTTTTTTATAGCGCAAAAAACTAAAAACCGCACAGGTGATCAAATACCACCAAAAGAAAGCTCTATTCGTGGGGAAAAAAAAAGGACATCAATTTCATTTGGGTACAGCATTGCATGATCGCACAATTGTTGGTTAAAGTAACGCAGCGCCGTAACGCAAAAAAATGGCCTGGTCAGGAAGGGGGGTAAATCCTCTGGAGGGCAAATGGTTAAAATAAGCAAAGAGAAAATATGAGTTGCTATACATTCCCTATTACTGACTTACAGCAACAGTGTTCAGTTGGTGTTGTCACAGATAAAACTGAAGCTTTTCCTGTTTTGCTTCACAGATGTGAGGCCAGTTTGACCAGAGATCTGCTTAGCAAGGCCGATATTCTAAAGTCACAGGTTCAATAAAACAGGAATGTTTTTATTTCAGGTATCAAAAGACAAAATGTATTTATTATTTTTTTTAATCTTTAGTTAAAGTGTTACT